ACTGCCTGCTTTTTAGGTTAATTTCGCTGGAATGGCATGGTTGTGAGATAATGCCAAATAGCACCCGTCAGTATAAATGATCACTGTCACCTGGAGTCTGGCTTAAAAAGTGGAGGGCGCCTGGGTGGCTTAGTCAGTTGAGCATCCGACTTCCGCCCAGGTCATGATCTCCCTGCTTGTGGGTTCGATCCCCGTGTCGGGCTCTGTGCTGACAGCTCAGAGCCTGGAGCCTGCTTCAGATTCTGTGTCTCCCTCCTTCTCTGCCCCTCCCCCACTCGCAGTCTATCTCAAAAATGAGTAAATGTTAAAAAAATTAAAAATTGGAGGTTATAGAAATATGTGGGTTGGTAAACAGGTGTTCTCTGTCAGGCAACTGGTGAAAATTTTATAGACTTGCAGATAAAAGACTCCGTATTACTTAAAAAATCTTTTTTTGAATTATTTTTGGGAGACAGCATGAGCAGGGGAGAGGCAAAGAGAGAGGGAGACAGAATCTGAAGAAGTTTTCTGGCTCTGAGCCATCAGCACAGAGCCTGATGCGGGGCTTGAACTTGTAAACTGTGAGACCACGACCTGAGCTGACGCTGGACACCTAACGGACTGAGCCACCCAGGCACCCCAGTATTACGTTTTTTAATGCATATTGCTAGACTGCAAGATCATGATAAAACGATATTGACAGTTTCGTGCAAAAAATGTTTCAAGTCAACAGTTAACAAGCATTGAAAAATACATTTTTTTAAACATTTATTTATTATTAAGAAACAGAGAGACAGAGCATGAGCAGGGGAGGGTCAGAGAGAGAGGGAGACACAGAATCCGAAGCAGGCTTCAGGCTCTGAGCTGTCAGCATAGAGCCCGACCCGGGGCTTGAACCCACAAACTGCGAGATCATGACCTGAGCTGAAGTCAGACGCTTAACCGAGCCACCCAGGCGTCCCTAAAATGCATTACTTTTTACATAGTTATTTGCTTTTTGTCAATAGGCAAACCCCATTTTGGCCTGCTTGTGAGGCTTAGAATTAGACCAGGCCAAGAAGGGCTACGCCAGCCTCAGCAGCAGTCTAAGAGGAAGCCCTTTACTGTTCTCCCTGATCTCACAAGGCTGGACAAACACCACAGGGCTAACAAGTTACTTATTTCTGGGAAACACTTGTTACTCTTAAAGCATATGCTGGGCATAAAGCACACCAGAAAACTAGTTTCCCCAGAGGCTTCTATATATACATGTCAAAGCTCATGGGACTGTAAATGAGAGCCAAGCTGGGAATTCCAGTGGACTAGGCAACTATTAAAGCCATTTAAGGTAGAAAGCAGGGCAGAAGAAATTGGTTCTATTTTCGTTTTTCTTGGAATGTGTTCTAGATTTCCAAAGCGTGATGATGAAATTAACCCCAGAATCCATTATCTTACATCCATAAAATTCTCTACAAACAGCCTTTTTAGTAAAAGTTGAGTAACTTACCAAAGAGTGAGGCTGTTGGTAAAGGAGGCTGTCCTGCATTCCCTCTTCCTGTAAACAACAAGAGCTAGCTGGGATAATTTATAAACACCCTGTGAATTCAGATTGCTGTTGAGGCTCAGGGAGTTAAAAAAAAAAAAAAAAAAAGCTCCCCAGCACACACGATCTAAAGTGATGGGACCTCCCACTGGCGGTCACACTCCACTTTGCCCGAGCTATGGTTTTGCCATTTACCTTTCTGTGAAATCCTGGCTCAAATGTGGCCATGCCCACATATCCATCCACATTCTGCTCCTCCCTTGTCAGCTACCAGTAGATTCTTCCTCACTCACGGGCTTGCTTGCTTTCCCCCTCGGGCACAGGGCTGGGAGGGAGGACCACCCTGACTCAGAGACCTGTGATTGCTCACAGAAGGCACTCAGTACTTTGAATAAAAAAGGAAACCCTTCAAAGACTAAAGGGTATTAAAGAACTGCTCAGATACAACTCAAGTTTAACATTTTATTTTGTGTAAAAAAGGGCAAATTTAGTGAATTATTTTCATCTTGTACACAAAGTTATAATTTTAATGCTTTTCACATCCATGCTGAAAATTTGCAGTTTGGTAAAAATGAAAGGAACATAAGTTTCTCTGAAGGAATTTTTCACGCCATTATATACACTTCCTGAGAAAGTCTCAAACACTTTCTCAATGACCACAAGTTACCAAGAAAATAAAAGATTAAATTTGTACAGATATTGATCTATATATCAAATACATACAGAAATGATGTAAAAACCTTATGCAGTTTACTTTGACCTCTGTCCTCAAAAGATTTGCCCAGGGACAGATGCTTTTCTTTTGTATAAATGACTGTGGCTTTATTTAAAATATGAAAATCAAAGGAAGCAACCCAGTTTAATCACAGTATTTTTAAAATCCCTTCCCAATAGTAAAGGATCATTACCAAATATATAGCACCATAATACAAATATTGATGGGAGAGGGTATTCACATCACGCAAAATTAATATAATAAAAACAAACAAACACTGAAAACCCGTGTTAGTATCCGTAGAAGTTGATAACAGCTTTAGCTTTCCTCATACACAGCAAGGAAAAGGTTAAAGAGTTTAAACTACCAAAAATCCCCCAAATAATCCTAACAGGAAAAAAATGAAAGCAAATGCAAGGTCAGCAGTACATTTTGAACCGTAAAAGAGAATGGGGCCATTGGGCTGTAACGACTGGAGTTATGGCTAAGACACCCATCTCCTCTGCAAGGACGCTTCCTGCTCATCCGCAGCAGGAGCGAGAGCCTGAAGGATGAGGGCGGCTTCCGACTGTGTTGAGAACACCGCAGGAGTCCTTGCCGACCTTTAACTGTTGGTCACGGGTCAGGACAGGAAACACTTCGTGAACACACGGGAAAGCACTCAGAGCCTGGTTTTGCTCTAAAGTTGGAAGCTTACGAGACCTGGCTACAGATGAGCATTGTTCGCCACTAATTACCAGGCTCCAAATCAAATCCCTCCTGGGCTCCTCAGGTCCCTGCAGAGCCCCAGGGCCCCAGGTACTGGCAGAGCGCGCCCCGCAGCTGCCTCCTGTGCCCGTCACGTGTCACAGAACCAGAGCCTGAGAATGAAGATCGTGGGTAAGCCCTGCTCTGGAAGTCTTCCAGGCTTTAAGTTTATGGGAAGATTCTTTAAGTTAAAGATTTGGGAAGTGTGAGGATGTCACATTTACAGTAGGTCCCTCTCAGCAAGGTTGTTTAAGATAAATATCCAGTAATTTTAACAGCTGAATTCACATATATTTGACACGTGAGAATCAACTTGGCGTTGATATGATCTGCATTTATGCCCCTAAAGAGTCAGTATTAAGAAATGTTGACATGCGATTCCATACATTCTTACACTATAAAGTAACAAATTTTACTTCCAGTAGCAACTACAAAACCTTATGTTATTAACCCCTCTTGCATAGAATGAGGTAAACCTGTGCGTATTACCAATGCTATTTATTCCCAAAAGTAGAGCAATATTTTAGAAAATAAACTGCTGGTTTTTAATGTTCTATGCATTTTAAAATTCAAACAAAAACCTTACCTAAAATGGTCTCCTGGGGCTTTCCATTACTTTTTTTTTTTTTTTTAAAGCATTCCATAGGCTGAAGGACTTTAGAGGTTAATCATTTTGATTAATTTCTAATTAGCCCTACCTATATTCCAGAGGAGACGGCCAATGTTACCACTCTGAAGAGGCCAGGCTAAGACCCAGAAGCACTTCTAGAACAGATGCATTAATTCCTGAGAAGTTTAGTTTATGAACCTCACTGGTAAACGCTAGAGCTCTCTCATTCAGTCACAACTCAGAAAGTCAGAAAAATGCAGAGAGCAAACCTTTCACCAATTTACCCTTGTATCCTTGTTTTAAAGGAAGCCATGTGAATTTTAAAATAGGGAATGTGTGAAATGGTCCAAATCAGTTATTACTGTTAAAATTTTGAATACAATTAAAAGACAATTCATACTATATATATATATATTTATATTTATATATATGGAATTTTAAGAAAATTAAATTCTCTTTCAAATTAGTTTTCTAACAAATCCAGGATAGTTAAAAGCAGAGCTGGAATGATTTTGATATCTAAACAGATTTTTGGCTTTAAACAACTCTGAATTTGATTCTACTGGTAATACAGAAGAACGTCTGTTTTGGGGTGTGGTTACACCAAGTATCGTCTAACGGAGGGAGGGAAACGGTAGAGGCCTGACCGGAACCCCTCTTGTGGGGCATCTGCGGTAAGGAAAACAACCCCTCAACATGTAGACTGAGATCCTGTGTATCTTCTTAACCATTCCAGTTTAACACTTTAGTGTTAGGATAATTTTAATTTTTTTTCTTAATTAAAAGAGAACATATAATAGTATCCAGAGTTCTTCCAGTTTCATATAGAACTCCAAATAAATTTTCACAGAATGAAAAACATTTCTGTACAAACATTTAAAATGGGCTGCAATAAAATGCCAACAAGCAGAATTAATTACCCCTTCCATGATCCTATGTGGTGATGAACCCTCCATGAGAGGGGGGTTCAGTTGCATATTTCTGCAGCAAAGGAAGCTGGAGATGTGACTGGCCTAACTTCTAAAATCCCCAAATCTCCCAACAGGTACCAAAAAGGTTCATTTGTAATGACAGTTCATTTGCATTTACAACTATATCCTTCTTTTAAATCATTTCCTTCAATCCTGCTACCTAAACTTTAATCTTACCAAAAAGTTAGAATTTCAGTTGTTAACAATGCACATAAATCCAAACTTGGAAAATATTACAAAATTCTTCCAAAAGCTTCAAATACAACACAAAAATTGTCCATCTTTATAAATTGAAAAATTTCCCCCCACGACTAAAATAGTTTCCCCACCCACCTGAAAAATCTGGAACTGAAATTTTCTATGTTTAGCAAAACGTCCCAGTGGAATAGCCCCGCTGTACAGCTCGGTTGATTATAAATCAGTCCTGTGTAAAACCCCTTCCCGCCCGCCCCCGGGTCCTGAGCCGCCTCAGGGCTCCTGTTTGATGTAGAAGCTTGCAGAGCCATTGCTCTCCTGATCGGACGCTCCTTGGAGGAAATTATAATCCTCTCCATCTATCAACTCCTCCTTCAGCTGCAATGTAGTCACTGCATGAGAGAGATAAATGCAGGGGATGTGATTAAGCCTTTCTGGAATATTCAGATTGCTTTCAGTCTTCAGGTTCCACCAGCGTTACAGTTAATAAGACTTCTTCATGTCTTCCATAAACTCTTAAAATTAACCCCCAGAAGTATGAACACTTAATTCACCTTAATTCTCAAAATCTATCGGCAGTTAAGGAGAGTTCCAGAAAGGAACAATATCGTAATCTAGACATTGCACAATGGACCTCTTCCAATGAAGTGGTCAAGGTAATCGTGATCACTGATTTGACGAGAATAATTCCAGTTTTTCTTATTAAGTAAGTATTCACTTTTATGTCATGTCTAAACAACAATGACGTAGTTCTTACACAGTTCTTAACTCCAATATTTAAAATAAGTCCCAATGCAATAAATATGATTTCAATATAATCTTATCTCCAAGGAGTACTTCATTACGAAGACTCCCTGTAGAAAAAAGATATAAACTTGATAATAGTAAAATAGTATTATAAATAATATAAAGTATTGTATTATCTATCATAGACATGTGTTATATATATACATAATTTACATATTTATAAAAATAGTAACTCTGATATTGATTAAGGTAAAATAAAACTTTACTCACACCAGCAATGTGAAAATCACTGTTGCACAATGGCTAACAACGCCAAAGGCATCACCTAACAGCAGTACTGCCTGAGTCCTTAGCAGAGAACCTGAAGACTTTCTTTTTTTTAAAGTAGGCTCCACACCTAACGTGGGACTTGAAAACATGACCCTGAGACTGAGTTGCACGCTTTACTGACTGGGCCAGCCAGGTGCCCCTGAGGACTTCCTTTTTACTGAAAACAAACCAATGATCTAGGCAGTCCTCAATTCCTAAACCGGTCAGGTTCTGGTGAGTCTTTATTTCTGTGGACAACTGTTTTCCAATTTCTAATATTTTCAGTGGGGTTTAGATTTTTTTTTTTTAATGTTTTATTTATTTCTGAAAGAGAGAGACAGCGTGAACAGGGGAGGGTCAGAGTGAGAGGGAGACACAGAGTCCGAAGCAGGCTCCAGGCTCTGAGCTGTCAGCACAGAGCCCGGCGTGGGGCTCAAACCCACGAACTGTGAGATCATGACCTGAGCCGAAGTCGGACGCTTAACCGACTGAGCCACCCAGGCGCCCCCAGTGGGGTTTAGATTTCTTGACAGCCACGGAAGTCATGCTAGGCAGAATTCTTAGGGACAGAAAGGCTCTTTCTAATCATGGCCAAAGTGGAAGAAAAAGGACATTTTTTTCTTTGCTGGGCCCAGCAATGGTCTTGGGCAAAAACCTTAGACGGTTTAATACTGAAATTTTCCTCTTTTAAAAAAAACAAACCCCTCTTAAGTTACTGTCCCTCAAAACAATGATCCAGTAACTTCAGATTGCTCTGAATCCTTTCCTGGAGGTTCAGGGCCTACTGTTACTTCCTACAGAACTCCCCTTCAAAAAACTACTTTCCTACTTTTTAAATAAAAATCGTCTCAGCTAGGTGCTAAAAACTAGTCTTAGTAACCACCAACCTCCCAGAAATGTGTTCAGGTTTCTGAAAAAATTATTGTTTAACCCAAACTGGGCTGCTCAAGTTCCCAACGACGGGAAGAAGGGTGGTCCTGCATGCTAACACTGACTGGGGTCAACCCACGGTGAGCAGCGCTCACTTTCTGCTCCAATTTCTTCCGCACACAGATGTGTTCAATCAGAGGTCACAAACTGTGTCCTTCCCACTCCCTCGTCCCATGGCTCTTTTAAATTTGACCGAGTATTTTCAAACAAGAGACTTCCCGTTAAGGCCCAGGAAAGCAGGGACACTTGGCCACAGACGGCCAGCATTCTCCAGGGGCTGTGGCTGGGGGAACTGACAGGCAGCCCGAGCCTCCCTGGGCCGCGGTGCCTGCCACAAACACATTTGAGCAACGTGACTCCCTCTCGTGCTGGCTGTGCTCCTCCCTGAGGTAACCTGTCTGCTCCCTGCAGGCACTAGCTTCAAACCAAAGGTGCAAGTTTTTGTTTCTTCCATTAGAGATCTTTTCATTACAATCGGAACATGACGGTGTGCACATATATGGAACGTAAACTGGGAACAGCTTATACAGAAAAAAAGTCAATTTATGAGAAGAATTAGGACTCAAAGAATAGTTAATAGTAAGCCAACCAAGCTCTCCTGAATCACTAACTAGGCAGTGTCACCATGTGGAATGACATTAAAGTGGTTACACTTTTAAAGTCAAATAGTGCAGTCACAGACAAAGACTTTCCATCCTGATCTTAGTTAGAAAAGATTAGTTTCAAAAATAGTGGTCTTTGGGGTGCCTGGCTGGCTCGGTTGGTACGGCATGTGACTCCTGATCTGGGGGTTATAAGTTCGAGTCCCACACACTGGGTGTAGAGATTACTTACAAATAAAAAAAAAAAAAAAAAAAAAAGTGGTATTTGATATCTGAATAATTTAAAGAATCATCTTTGAGAGAGGTCAATTTACTTCTTTTTACTTTGGTATTTGTTTTAGTAATGGTGTTAAAAAATTTAATAGCCCAAAGACAGAAAAGCGAATACGCTAAGCCTATAACAACAGCAAAACAAACACCAATCAAACTGTTCGGAAAAATCAAAGTCACAAGACTGTGTAGTTCTTTTACTTAATATAATTAACAATGCTTTTATGGAGAGTTATCAATATAACAGTTAATCTTCAAATCTAAGCAATACACATTTACTGTTAAGGACCTTTTAACAATACCATGAAGATAAACACATGGAAAAGAAAAAAAATCCCACGTTTCATTAAAGGTGCAGTACCCACAATAAAAGGTTGGCTACAACAGGATCTTGTTCTAGGATGATCACATGACTCAATGGATGAGAAAAGAGCTCCTGTGCTTCAGACCAAATGTTCCATTCAAACAGATGTTTGTTTCTGAAATGTGGCAAAGGGAAGCTGAGATTCTAAAGCACATCCTGAAACTATTTGCATTTACTATAAACAACGAATTTCTGGATTATGCTTCCACTCATGTTAAAATATGGAAACAATGTGCTTAAAAAAAAGTAACTCAAGAGAAAGGTGAAAGGCTCACTCAGATGTGGAATGCTTTATGCTTTAATGCAGTCTGAAGGGTTTCATGGAACCTAAAATAACGCCGGTCTGGTATCTTCACACTAATCATTTCTCCTTTCCAGGCCTTATTCTCAATGAGTGATGGATGAAATAAAATAGATCCTGTGGCTCAATGCGGCACTTCCTATGCAAGTACATTTTCTTAGCTCCGTTTCTAAAAGGAAGTCACTTTGCTGACTCTCATCACTAACATTTCAGATGAACTAATGGAAATCATATTTTCCTAGCGAGAAGTCCAGAAGTAATAAATGCTGAGTAGCTAATCAAACCTAGCTTTCAGGTAGTTCAGATAGCAACGTAGTTCCACACAGTTTCACAGAAGTGAAATCACACCAAGTCCCACACGATGTGACCCCAGCTTGGAAGACACTACAGACACTGGTGGAAAAAGGAAGTCACTTCAGAGATGCTGTGGTTTCCATCTCATGCTTCTACTCTTAAGTTCTTGGGTTCTGCCAATCCTAGGAGTTAGGTTCTGTTTTACACGAATCAGTGACTTCTTAAAAAAATCAGTACTTCTGACAAAACACGACACGCACTTTTCAAATTAGTCTAATACTTACAATCCAGTAAAAATTCCAATAAATCCAATAAAACCCAATAAAAATCCAAACATATTCAGAGCTCACAATATCTACAATATTTAAGTTAAAGAAGACCACATAGTAAATAACAAGTACAAAAACAAAAGAGACAAACAAGAAAAGAAACTGAAATGCTCTTTAGATAGACTTTGAACATTTTTCCATTAAGGAGCAGATAAACTGAGATTTGCAGTCCTCATCTACTTTTTATACAAAAGAGTAATTTCTTCTAGAAATAAGGATATTACTAGAGCGATCTTCAGGGAGACAGACTAGGAAGAATGAAGAGGACCTAATACACTGGAAAGGAGACTAAAGCTAAAGAACGTATCTTAAAATGGCACCCCCGCCCTCCCCCCAAAACTGCAAGCCCCCCAAAACTTCAGGTATAAAGATATTAGCAAACAGAGAAGGAAGAAGAAAACAGAGCTAGGTATTAACACCCATTAGGGTTTTCAACATAGGAAAGGCATTTTAAATACAGATTAAACAAAACAACCGAATGTAAAAGCAACAGTTAGGATATGGGACACATGCCAAGGCCAAGACAACTCTGGCTTCCAAGTGGTCTCCTCTGCACTCGTGTCTCAAGTTCATCACATGCAAGTGAAATCTTTCTAATATTTTATAGTGATACGTTTCTTCTTAGCAATTATAAAAGGTAAAACATTTTGCATTCCTTACAAGCTAGTAGCTCGGCCAAACCAATTACATTCAAATTAAATGTCACCTACTTAATCACTGTAAGTACATAAATGTGAAAGAATGGGAATAAATTTTACTCAAGCTCAACACCAATATTACAGAAGACTGTATTTCCAAGTCTGTGTTATTCAACTAAGACTGTGGTAAATGTGACCACCAGAACCCGAATTCCACGGGAACGCAAAGCCTCATCTTTGGGTCTGATTAATCAGACTGATCCCTAATGGTGTGCTTCTCCCTCAGGTCAAGCTACATGGAATTCTGCAATGGAAAATATTCAACCATTTTAATGAAACCACGAAACAGGACACGTTGCCTCTCAATTCCATCAAGTGAAGTGATGAGCTCTCCCCTAATCTGAAGCTCAGAAGTGGTTTACAGTAACATAAAAACCCCTCCCTGATGACTTGACTTGGTGAAGTGACTGCCAAGGACCAGTGAAGATGAAGGTTTTAGTTGAAAGAAAAATAAAAATTTAATGAGTCCGCACCTGTCGCGCCAGACCACACATTGTCCCCCACCGCCCTGCCCGGCTTTCACCCCCTGCAGTACCAGAGGTGCTGGCGGGACTATTACCTGTGCTGAGGCTGGGAGTGAACTCTCGGCTAGTGCTGGGAGGCGGGAAGGCCTCCGGGGCTGTCTGTGCTGCAGGAGGAGTCAACTCTTCGTCACCAGAGAGGCCCCTCCGCACCCCGCCTGTCATGGGCAGGCTCGACAGACTGACAGGCTTCTTCCCAACTGGCATCTTCCTCTCTAAATATCAAGTCAGACTAAAGTAAGCTTTTACTTACATGCGTGGTAAGAAAAGTGCAATATAACTAGGAAAGATTATGTTGCATAGGATACTCTGAAAAGAGAACCAACTATGCAAGGTCTGTGTTTCTGAAAACACAGCGTGTGAGTGTGTGTACACGTGGGTGTGTAGGCTGGGGGTGTTTGGGGGGGAGGTTATTTCTGGTCTCTGAGAGCCTGGCAATCCTGGTTCCTGACTCTATTTAAAAAAAAAAAATTAAATATATTTATATATATATTAAAAAAATATATATAAATATAAAATGTTGATTTATTTATTTTTGAGAGAGACCCTAAGTGCCAAGTGGGGGTAGAGCAGAGAGAGAGGGAGACAGAGAATCTGAAGCAGGCTCCAGGCTCTGAGCTGTCAGCACAGAGCCTGACACGGAGCTCAAACCCATGAACCATGAGATCATGACCTGAGCCAATGTCAGACACTTCACTGACTGGGCTGCCCAGGCGTCCCTCTGGTTCCTGATTCTTAAATCAATTTAAAATATAAAGCAAAGCAGGGTGCCAGGCTGGTTGTTAATGGAGCATGTGACTCTTGATCTCATGGTCGTGAGTTTGAGTCCCATGTTGAGTGTAGAGATTACTTAAGAATAAAATATTAAAATATACATATATATAATAAAACAAAACGAACTGCAGAGAACATTTCATGTGGAGAACAACTGGCTAACGTCCTTCAAGAAAATTTTAGCTTGAGGGGGTTGAAAATCCAATAGAAGAGAAAGAAGGCTTTAAAACCCTACTGCAGGGCAGCATTTCACTGCACACACAAGACCAAACACTGGCTTTCAGGGAGAATCAAACAGTTGAATAAATGTATCCAGGTGGCAGGATTTTACTGATAGGAAATGTGCTCCCCTACCGTTTGGTTTATAGTGTAGTCTTTTAGAAGACACTTGTAATTCTTACTCTGAAAAGCACTTCTAAAATACAAAGCTTGTTGCCTACAAGTACTTAAGCAATCTAGTATCTTCTGAAACACTCTTTTTGGTTATAGTTTCCCAAGCAAACATAAGCCTTCAAAGACTTATACAATGCTTTTGCCCAGCAAAAAAGGTACTCTAAACTGCAAATGGTGAACCACCAACATATCGCATTAGTCAGGTTGAAAGCTAAAAGACACTTATATCTCTGGGACTCTAAGTTATACCGGTTTTCCTCCAGAGTATACAAATGACTCAGGCAAGAGCAATCAGAACTTTGGCTTCACAAAATCAGGACTAGAAGATAAATCTAAGTCACATGGTACTTCCTATGTAAAACGGTCTGGTAACTGAGCTAGGAGTAACAGCAAGTACATATTGAACTCACAACTGCCAAACCAAAATCACATGCAGCAATCGTTTAGACTTTTCCTCATGTACAACACACTTGGAGGTCAAAATGCAAGGAGGATCTCTAACTCTCTCCTACCTGTAAAAGCCCTTGAAGATGGTTCAGAAATCAGTGCTGGGTTTCCTGCTCTAGAATTACAAACACTGGAAAAACTAAGGCTTTTCGGAATGGGCAGATCACATGCCTACAATGGTCTATGTGATCCTCTTGGCAGAACATGACTCTTATTTTCCAAAAGCACTAGTTTAACAGCTGTCCCACTAGAGCACGAACACAGACCATTACAAAACAAGCTAGAACAGGGAAGCCAACCATCTATTTCTGTTAAAAACAAACACATAAACAGACAAGCCCACCAAACAAAACACAACACTACCAAAGAGCACGCTGATGGAGGAATTTCGGCCCAAAAAGACCAAGGAGCGAGCAGATGAAACCACAGAGCCACAGAGAACCTGCAGGCGAACTTAAAAACAAGAGAGTCTGTGGCCAATCTGCTAACGATATTGCAGATGCAATGGACGCATTAGGTTCATGGATCCAAAGTCTTCCTTACTGAGGCGTTTTGTGGGAAAAATTTCTAGTCACCTATCTGGTGAACAATATAAAAAAAATAAAAGGAACAGAGAGTACCCTCACAATGAAGACTGCTGCTTCTTCATTCACATGGCACTAGAATTCCTTATCCTCAATTCCAAAATCCAATTTCTCTGTAAAACTCTGGCAACAAAACCAGATCTCACTTGGTGATACTATTTATAATCTTTATTTGGCTCACTTACTGTAAACATTTACGTATATTTTGTCTCAGAAAATGTGCCAGAGTCTGCAAGCGATGTTACATAATATATGCTTTACACACTAGACTTCTTTTCTAAAATCCGAAAAACTCTTGAATTCCAAAACACATCTGGTCCCAAGGGTTTCTAATAAGGGGCTGTAGTGGATTTATAGTCCTTTCCCTTCATAGGTCCAAAGGACAATTTAAAGGCATTAGAGATAATGTCATAATATTAAGAGCTATTACAATGTTACGGTTAAGGAGCATGTTATATATTTACAGCTAAATTCATTTTTCCAGTTAGCCCAGAAATGTGGTACTATTAAATGTCACTATAAACTGGCATATTGATTTCACTTCATTACTTTCTTACTTCTTCCCATGGCCAGTTAATCCAAAAGAATTAAACCCCATACACTGGAAACAAACTTGCAAGAGTCACAGTGAGGGAGGCATGTAAATTATGTACCCAATGCTCAGAAATCAGCCCTAAAAATGTCATATAGCCACGGAGTAATAAATGTTAATTCAACACCTTGGAAAGAAAATTCTGGAATCTCAGCCTTGTCCAATAGAAAGGGAGAAGACAGGCCAAAGCAGCCTGTGCTATCCAACCTCACGGAAAGCTTAGGGGGCACACGTGCTGTGCTTAGTCCACGGACAAAGGTGCCATGGGAATTCTTCCTCATCATTTCCATGTACACAGGGATCGCTTCGATCTGCCTGTCTGGTGATGCTCTCTAAAGTTCTTTCAGGTGAATATCAAACATGGCAAGCAGCTAGTGGGCAAAACAACTCTGGGCAAATGTGACATCTCTACCTCTAATATAAAAGAGAGGGCGAGAGAAAGGCCTGGAGTTGAGTCTGGCTTGGTTTTCATGCCGGGAGGACGCGAGAGTGCCCGGCGGCGGCTGGGGGAGGTTTGTAGTCCCCAGTGAGAAAGAACTTATACACAAATGACGATCATCAGAAAGTAAGGGTCTATTCGGTTCCTCATGCTGCTTCAGCCTCTTGGTTGTTAATGAGACAGATTAACACTTATTTGGACAGATGGCAAGTCAGCTTGAAAAATCTGTTTCAGTTTTAATCCTAAAATGTACTTTTCACTTTTAAAAAATATCTTTAAATAAAAATAATCTTATCTCCATGACAAGTTTCATGAAGAGAAAAACTTGTGGTTTCCTATGGTGGGGGGGACAAAGATTTCAAAAGAATCAAACAGAGCTATCAATATAATTTTGGCTATTAATGCCTATAATCCTTCACCATAAGGTAAAATATAGAACGCACACTTTAAAAAAATATTCCTAAGCCTGACTTTGTTAGACATCAACTTGAATTTTGTGTAAGTCTCAATCTAGAAACAGAGTTTTGGTTCATGAACAAGGATAGATTTCCTAGCCTCCAAGTCTGTTGCAAGCAGCAAGCATTTTTTTTTTAAAGTTCAAAAAAAGGGATAATTTTCAGTAGGTTTGCATATTATTTTGAGAACTACTTGTACTCTCTTCTTTACCATATAGGTTTTAAAATATTATGGTAATCATGTTTCCTGTCAGTTAAAATGTGTTTCTTATTACTGAAAAGGTTTGCCTTTTATGGCATACTGCACCTTTAAGCATAATACATAATGCACAGTCATTGGCTCTCACATGGGATATTCACTTCTGTGCAAGAAAACCATGACCCCAACTGGTTAACAACTTAGAAAATGTATATAAACACCATGTGGTGACCCACTTTTCTTATGTCCTTTGTATTGCTGGGACTTAGCCTTTTTCTTCTGTTTTGATGAACCTGATTGGCTTTCTCTTGACGCTGAAAAACAGAAGGGAAAATTGGTGCCAGATAAGCACTGCAGGCACACAGCTCTAGATACAACTTGGATGAATTATCTTTACCAAGGCCATTATGCTTATCAAAGTACATGATGCTTTGAAAAGAAGGGTGCTTGCTCCTGGAAAACTCACCATACCACAGACTCCACTACTTCCATATTAATAGGCACTTATACACCGATACATCTTATAGCTTATACTATATATAAGTATAGTTTATACTCGCAAACTCATTAGAACAAGTCTGATTTGGCGGGTGCCCTCATGGTCGTGCTTCTACAGCCATCATGTAAGTGACAACTGAGCTCACACTGCCATGGTGCTCATGGTCGCATTCTGGGATGTTGCTGGGGAGTCTTAGGATCTTACCTGGCAACCAATCAGACAAAGGAATTTTCTTGTCCTGTGAGCTCACAAGGTGATCTATGTGAAACGGTCCTCTGGAGAACTGCTGATTTTTACAAAAGGACACCTTTTCTGTAAACCAACTTACACTGTGACGCTGGAGGCTGTAGCTGATATCCAGTTAGTTGGCACCACCCTACAGGATAGAGGTCAGGGGACTCACAGTCTACCCACTGATCATACTCCTCTTCCCATCCATCAAAATGTATCCTCAAGAGACGATGAATAATTCGAGTGACCGTGGCTACACATATTAACCGTGGCTCCATGAGATCTACTGCTTCTAATTTCATTCCTACACGAAATCCGTGATTTGGGACATCCTGATACGGAGAAGCAAAACATGAACACTGGTGAGAAGAAGTATGCACAAGTCCACTATCAGTAAGAAAAAAAAAAAGAAGCGATGGATCCAAATAACCTAATTTAAACCAAAAAAAAAAAAAAAAGGCAAATAATTCTTTGATTATGAAAGCATATGAAGGTGAAGTTATTTCAGAACTAGTTAGGAAATATATTTATTTCTGTTTTACTCAGTTTGAAAATGAAGCCAAGTGTGAAAACAAGCTTCATTTCCTAGGTAAAGAAAATAGATTGTTTTGTTTATACTAATCTCCATTAAGAAGTTCTAATATAAAGCAAACACATTTTGATCAACAATGATCTGCATTTGTGAGGCATCAAAAAAATTCCACATAATTATGCCATTATTTAAATTTACCTTATTAAATAGTTTTACTGGTGCTGCAATGGAGCCAGTTTCCCTGAGGTAGTCAAACCATTTAAAAGGAAGTTTTGTGTAACCTGAAAAAACACACCTGATTTAACTGGCAGTTCATTTAAAATTAGCATAATATTAAAATGTAGATATAAAAAGTTTACTCAGTACACACTAAAATCTCGGATTTTTGGTTATATAATAAACTTTTAACTCTTACACTCACACTGTTTAATGCAACGATTCCTCCATTTTATAAGGATTTCTTCTGTTTCTAGACAGACACAGGTGCACCTACTTACCTAATGCAAGAGTGTCTCTCTCCAGTCTACCAGAAGAATTACAGACTTTTGCTTTTACAATCCTAGGCTTAGGACAGTCTAGCATTTCATACTTCACAGTGGTATTTTCCTTTCCTTGCCAGAAAGAAAGGTGGCTGGGCAAATACTAGTTTATAGGCTTCTGTTTTTAGTTTTCCCCCCTTCTTTTCTTAGGAGAAAAGCCCAAGGCTCAGATATTGAAATTAGGAAAGTCACTGGTTAAGTTGTGAGAGCTATTTAAGGGTATGCCTTAAAAACAAAAAAACCCCACGCCCCCACATGATACTCTAAAGATGGAAACTTGCTTTCCCTCAAAGGCTTTTTAGCCTGTATCTATTTTTAAAAAATGTTTATGTATGCCATAACCTACATCACCATCTCAACAGGGCTTGAGAACCAATTCATATTACAAATGTACAGATGCACAAGAAAAATTCTATACTAATATAATTCATCAAAGGTAGCTACAATATAATGCTGCATGTTCGTAAAGCACCCCACAGCTCGTCACGTGTGTATATGTTTATATATAGGAACACATGTAACATGTCCACACAGCAAGAAACCCAGGACTGCGTTAAATGATGTAAATAGATGCCACATAAAAAGGCGGCAAGGATGGAGACCCAGTGTACATATTAGGACGAAATACCTCTAGGTGGAGTAAGTTCAATCATGTTAATTTCACAGAAACCAACAGGGAAAATAGAAGGGGAGGTTGCATGATAACAGAACCAGTCAGATCCGTCTGCTGCTTCTGAGCCATCGATCCCAATCATCAGGAATCCATCAGCCAGCACCTTTTAAATGAAGAAAATTCCAAGTATTTGAAATTAGACATCTCTATTATAAAAGTGATCCTTTAAATTAAGTGACATTCTACAAGAAACGAAAATCTATTCCACAGAAGTCTCTATGTTAGCAGCTGGCACATAAGAACCTGTGTGGACTGCAGTGTGCACCAGCCGCAGAAGCAGGGTTACACACAGCGACCTCAGAGGTGTAGGAAAAGCAGTGCCTTTGCTGATGGCTAAGGTGCCGGGGCTCCTCTCCGATTTAACTGTCTAGTCTCGGCGAGGCTCTGCGTCCCACTCAGTAACTACTTCTTTCCTTCTGATTCAGCACACACAGGAGTTTTTCCAAACCTTTTCCACCTTCGTCAAGCTTCCACTTTCCCTCTCTTATGCTGCAGATACCAATACTCCCGTATGACAGAAACGAAGGCCACTCTGTGCAAGGGTCCCCATATTCCTTCTTTTGCACCCCTGACTGTTTGTTGTAAGAGGCACTACCCCACCCCCAAAATAACTTTTCCATCTTGTACTATTACCGCTGGTACTTTGCTCCAAAAACACTATCTTGTATAATTTAACGTCTCCCAATTTTCATTACATTAAAAATACTTAAAAATATTTTATTTTGAAACAGTTCAGACTTACAGAAAAGGTACAAAAATAGTACAGTGAACTCATATATACCTCACTCAGAGACCCACATCAAGGTTTATAATACGTAACTCTTTGCAGCTTGATTTCTGTGCTGATGCTACTAAAATGCTAAATGTCACCAGTGACCTAATTTTGCCAAATCCAGAGCCTTTCTCCCAACATGTATCCTCCTCAAACCTCGGTCTCCCTGAAGTATGTGATACCCACGGACTACTCTCCACTTTCTGCAATGTTTTCTCCCAGACTCTCATTACATTACAGTCCACTGACCGATCTTGTCACCCCTCCTGACTGGTGATGCTTCTTTGGTGGTGTCCTTTCACCTCCAACCCTGACTTTTCTGATGTAGCCCTTTTCTGTTTGGTGATATGACCCACACCCAGTGCTTCAATAATTGACCTCTATCCCCACAATTCCTCCAGTTTGATCGGGAGTTTGTCTCCCTTGCAGGGTCTCGGTCCTGCCTCCCCCTGCTAGCCGCACACCCCCTCTGAGAGCCCATGCAGGCTGTCCAAGTCACCCTCAAAGGTAAGCAAGCAGAGACCCCATTACTCCCCTTAATGTCAGTTCCTCTATCCGTGCCAGGGGTTATGTCTTCACTGCACTGTTGGAGATCACTGCTTTCAGGCCTCCTTTTTGGACATTTCCCCTCTTACACATTTTAACTTTCCTGTGGGGTATGACCTCTGTTCACACCAGAAAGCTTTTCAAACTCACCTGTTCACCAGAGAAAGCTCGGATGGCCCGACCCAGTATTCAAAACCTGCATGACCTGGTTCCACATCATCTTTTAGTCTCTGCCCTCAAGTGCCTTTGTTCTAGTTCGTTCTGCTATAGTGGATGTGTATAATAACCTCCTCTCCCAGTGTGACAACAGTGTCTATACCTCTGGCAAGAGTTACTTCCACTCACACAGGACTCCTTTTCCAAATACAGCTGACTGGGCTGGGGGCTAGTATCTAACCTTTAGGGGATGAAGCCAAAGGCTGGGCTCAGCTAGACTCTCTCTCGGTAATTAGCATTAACAGACGTGGAGGCGGTTGCCACGTGATGGGCTGGAGCTGGACCTGAAGGCTATGACACAGGATGGAGCTCGCAGTCACACATGGAGATGGAGGGAGAGAAATGGCAATCAATCACAAGAGTGAAGGAAAAGTGGCTGAGACTCAGAGCAGGGAAGAGATGGGGCAAAGAGGCCCCGAGAGTTGGAGAGAATAACACTGGGTTTACGGCTTTCCAGTTCCTGCCCTTGTGTCCTGGCATGTCTGAGAGTCTGCCATGTCCTTAGGGTGACTTTCCTAGAGCTCCCCCGAGTGGGTTCCTTATGAATGAACAGCCTTGAGCAGAATACTCAGTGTGACTTGTTCGATATGTACTGTATGAACGACTCGGTCTCTTCCTAAACCTGGCTCATGTGCTCCTATCGATACTTCTGTGCACACTCTCCTTCCACAACAGTTCCTTCGCTGCATCTCTGCTGGGCAGTTTTTCCCAACCGACAAGATGAAGTTTTCAAATAGCCTCCCTTCTATTAAGCTTTCCCTGATTCCTCTGAGACAATGTGATCTCTCTTTTATGTGAATCCCAACAGTGTTGTGTACATTGAAGTCATAGTCAATCCTGTATCAAACTTATTTTTAGGTATCTTACCTTGTTCTACAAGGCTATAAACTTTTTATTTTAAAGAATCCAATCCAAACCAAACCTAGTGTGGCGAGTATGAACTGAGCAAGGTAATTCCTGAGCGAAGTCGGGCGCTCTACTCACTGGCCGCTTCATTCTCATGTGATGGAACAGAGATGGCGCTTCCCAAACCTGACCTTCAGAACCACCTAGACACCTTTATCTTTTTTTAAACAAACACATGATCCTGTGTAGTACTTCTTGTGATTCTGATTGAGTAGGTCTGGAATAGGTCTTGGGAATCTATGTTTGAAATTGTACCAGGTGATTCTGATCACCAGGCAGAGGAAGAACAAAAACTGGGAGCCAATTTCGTCCAGTTGTGTGACCTTGAGCACAAGCACCTGGGACATGGCAGCAACCATAACTGTTCTTAATTCTTTTGGCTCAACGTTTTAAACTGTGCTGAAATGCAGATCATAATTTAAGCTACACCCTTAGGTAAGCAGACTCTGGATCAGTGGTTCTTAACCATGGCAGAACTGGAGAATTTCCTGGGGGCTTTTAAAAAATGCCAATGCCAAGGGTCTCCCCACCAGACTGATGAGATCAGAACAGGGGTGGGGTGAGCATTTAAGAGGTCTGGTCACCTGTATTTTTTAAGTTCCCCAGGGTATTCTGATGCCTACTGAGAATTGAGAACCACTCTTCTAGATCTCTTCATAAATGCAGGTTCAGAAGAGAGGAAAAAAGAAGAAATAAAGTACTACCAAAAGCAGCAAAAGGGCACAAAGGAAAAAACAGTAAACTGAAGAGAAATTTGACCTTGTTGCAATTCTGTGTTGGACTAGCTTTGACCAGGAAGTGTAACCTGAATAAATAATTCTTCCTCTAAGTCAGGATACATACTTCCATAACTAGAGGCATCTGACTCAAGATGACAATCTTGACAAGCTATATAGAAAGAGAACCTCTGAGAAGAATTGAAATTCATTTCGAAATTACTAGTAACCCTCTCCAGAGTCCAGTGAGGATCCAGATACATACATTTTACATCAAAATGAATACGTTAAGGGCCTCCTTCTCCTTTTACCTTAAACCCAGTTCTCATAATTGCATTTCTATATTTTAAAACCTATAGTCTTACCTTTCTAATAGTCGCAACACATATTGTGGAAAGATTTAATGGGTCTATAGCTTCCAATTTCATTCCTTCCTTGAACCACTCCCCACTCTGGTCTACTTCTTTTACCTAAAGAATTACATGAAAGCACATCTGCTGTTACAACGGTTATCATTTTAATAATAAATATTTCCATTTTGAAAATGTTTACCAGATGAAAAAAACAAATGCCTTCTCCTACCTACCTAGTATTGTAACTCAAACCTCCGTCAGAGGAAAGAGACAGTTTAGGCAAATCGACAGAACTTAAGGATAATTATAATCAATAGTGGTGACACCTATGGACCACAAAGTCAATCCTTATTTTAAGTGAACAAATGTAACTGTGATTTCCACAACGTTAGGAAAAAACCCACAACCCTCTTTCAAACCTAATTTACAAATGAGGGTTCTTATAAAAACTTCTTACCTTAGCAAATAAATGTGGTGGTGTATCAAAATGTCCATCCTGTTTCTTTGTAATATCTACAAGGAAAAGTTACATACTAATCTGTCAGCATTTGTGAGAAGTCCAAAAACCACGTTTCTTTGAAGGTTTCAAACTCACAAGGTATGTATATTCTAAAACATGGCAGAAATACATGCCTTCTACATTTATGGTGAAAAATAAGTCTTTAATAGTCTTGCCCTCTTCAGCGTACATGTGCTATGAAATACGCTCGGCCATTTAGCATGCTGCCAATTCCTTAATGAGGGAACCACAGCCTCAGGAGTATGTTTTAATGTGTTCAGTATTAGGTCTAACCACATTTAATCTTGCTATTTTGACTGAAATTGAATGCAAAGGGAAAAGCTACCTTTGGATCTTTCAAATGGGCGGGATAAGAAAAGTAGAAGAAAATAAATGTAGTTGTGCCCAAAAGTGCATTATATTTTAATTGACAGCAAGTGGAGGGAATACAAAGGAGTGAGCTGGGACACTCATACTCTGGTGTGAACCTCCCCTAAATAAGGCAGAGTTAGCAGTCCAGACAACTAGAATGCTACCTCTGATCTCTGCTATTCTGTAGAGAAAGGTAACCATGGTGGTACAATTCAGCCTCAAGGATGTTTTCAATAGGCGGTCTTGTGACAGGTGCTTACCAGATCTTTTGAATCGATGGCCTATGCTTCGAGACCAACCGATATGATGGATTAATGGGCTGTGCATATGGCACCAGAAGTCATCCGTCCTATCTTCGCTCTCTTCATACACTAGTCTTAATCTTCCTCCAATTACACTTTCCACCACTGCCACTCGTGTGCGACACAAATGCCTCTTGTCCACCACTTCTACTCTCATGCAAGGTTTGAAAGGATACTGCATACTCTCTGAAACCTTAAACAAAAGCAGACAAAAACTGTTCGGAATTCATGACAGAGCTCTACAACCAATATCAATACTGCACCGTTAAAAATACTGGGTGTACTCAATATTTAATTAGATCATCTGGCTCACTGAATTAAAACAATTCCTTAAAAAACTTCCAAGCTATTCCTTTTTAGAGCTCTCAATTGACACTCCAGTCCTTTCTAAGAGCCTGTCTTTACCTTCTGTGAGAAATCGGGAGGAAGTGTTTTGGCACCAGTAAGTCGTTTCACTAGAAAAGCTTTCCAGTTTGTATACTTATGCTGAATAGCTAAAACAGAAGAAATAACCAGTTACACTTTGGCAAAGAGCAGAACTGCTTCATAAACTATTTAAAAAAAATAACAATTTTCCCCTGCAAATCAGAGTATAGAGGTTCTGAAGAAAAGTCATAAAAATCAAGAAAACAAGCATGTTTTGCCATCACAGAAGTTACTTAAAACCAAAAATGATTATTTTAATTTCTGTACCACTTGAATATTACTGTGTGTGATCTATTTCAATGTCAGTAAGGGCAAACAGGCCACTTACTTCTGGGAGGGACGAGAGGTTTGCCACTGGCTGCACACCAACCAACGGGATGGATGTCAGAACCACAGATATTGCACCAGAAGTCCAGCCCAGAGTCATTTTCAAATCCTTCATATCTTAAAAGGGCATTGTAACCTGGAACCAACAAGTCAATCACCACATAGTAAGAAAAATGGAGTGGAATCAAACAGGACACAGCTGTTGGTAGTGGGGGTCAAACGTGAGGGGGCACCGGCAACAGAATCCCGTGCAGGGCGCGTTAACACACGGCTGGCTGGGCCCCACCCCCAGAGATTCTGAGCCAGTCGATCTGGGGTCAGTCTGAGAACACGCACTTCTAACCAGTCCCCAGGTGAGGTGGTATGTGGATCACACCGACCCACTTGTACAATGCCAGGATTTAACTGTTTTCAGAGCATGGTTTCTCCTCCCCCTTTTAATAGTTAAGTTCAATTTCACCCATAGCTTCTTAAATTTTCTAGAAAAGAAATTCTTAGTGAAAAGAGTGGGAAAGTCCTACTAGAATGTGTAGTTTTGAAAATAAATGAAAAAGGTTATGGTAAGTTAGTAAAATTTCATCCAGATGCCACCGACGTCCAGTTAAAGTCATTTCAAAGAAACTGCTTTGTCCAGCTGATTAGGTAATCAACTATTTTTGAATGATTTGGATGTGGCTACCTCAAGACTCCAAATTTTTCTGTCCTATTTATTTGGAAATAATATGTGAAAATACTAGGTAAAAAAGTTCAATAAACGCAAATAAAAGTAAGTGAAATGACTTAAAAACTGTATGTACTAAGCAATTAGCAAGCCTCATTCCTTAGAACAAAAAGTATACAATACATCCTATTTACAGTTTAAAAAGCCCCCAGTTGGCAACATTACAGTTTAATTTAAGGTCTTCAGGGGGAATAAAACGGCTCAACAAACTCATATTCCAGGCAGGGAGCTCATTTGAGCAGCATTTTCACATTTAACACATTAAGGTCTATGATGAAAGTTTATAGCATTAAACCTTTAGTTTCAAAATTCAATAACTCACAGCATAATTCATGAGTTTGCCAACTGTTGCTGAGCTCTAGTTCACGATTAACATCAGGCTCAATTCTAAAGCGTCATTAGAGTGGCTTAAAATAATATATATGGTGCAAGGAGATAAAAACAGAAATGTAAAATTGAAGATGGAAGGTAGAAATAATTCTTGAATATTAAATGCATTGTTCTTTAGAGCTATTGAAACGAAACTAGCTTAAACACCTAGAACAGAAAGACTATGTTGTTTTAAATTACGGTGTAGAGGATAATGCAAGCTTTTGGAGAAGACTTGTATGGCCGGGGGAACGTTTCAAGGGGAAGGTGGGAACTGAACTGGGTAATATGTGATGTGCAAAGGCAGAGGTGACAACGTGTTCTATGATGGAGGAGAAGAACTAGGACAGCATGTATGGTGGGGAGAATCAAACATTTGGTCAGTAGTCTACGGTGCAAGTCATCAATAGCTGTAAATGCTGACCATCTTGATCCTCTGAGGACAAAGAAGCTATTACAGGTGCTCGAGCAGAGAACCAGAGGATGGTGCTTAGTGGCTCAAGGCTGTGAGCAGTACATATAGGGAGCAGCGGGCAGGGTGTGTGGGGGAGAATGGCTGAAGAGGAACAGGAAGAGCAGGATGGATTAGAGCTCGCTCACTAACTTGAAGACAACCTCTTAACTTCTGAATGGCTGTGGGGCCCCCTGCCCCCGCTACGTGCCATAACGTATTACGGTGCCCACCGCACCGCTCGCTGAGCACCTCATCGTAAATGTGGTCTGCACTGGGCAGGTGTCAGCTCATGGAATACACTAGGTTTTACCCTTCTGCACATCACCCACCCATGATGTCTAACACAGTTGATGCTAACGCACCTACCTATGTGATGAGCCATAAGGTAACAGGGACCAGGGTACCAGGAAAGTAGTAGGGGTGAGGAAAGAACTCAAGACACATGAAATTATAACACTCATTTACTTTTGGTGTTATGGACCTTACCACTCTCCTTAACACCTCAGCTTCTGGTTGCTTTGCAAAGTACTTCCCTATACCTAAGGCTGGCCCACAGATCTGGCCTACTGCCTGATATGTTTTACCCTCTGCCACCTAAGAATGGTTTCACATTTTCAGATGGTTGCATGTCTTGATACATGACAGTTCTACAGCCTTCAAATTTCAGTGCTCATAAATAAAGTGTCGCCAGCACACAGCCATGCCTGTTCATGTATGTATGGCTGTGGCTGCTTTCACGCTACAACCGCATGGCGGAGAAACTGTGACAGAGACTGTACTGCCCACAGAGCTAAAAATATTTACCACTTGGCTTTTTATGGAAAAACATGTGTTAACCTCTGCCCTGTTATATTTATTATTTATTTGGCAACAATTGAAAAATTTACAGATAACATTTTCTTAAAAGTTACAGACACAATTGGCATTTTCAGGTAAATTGTTACGTGTGCTTTCACCTGCTAATTTTACAATTCCAGCAATCCAGAAGACTTTGGTAGGTAGGCTGCAGTCTGTATTAGGAACTTCTACTCTCACATTTTCTGAGATATCACCCCAGCAGGTCCCCATAGGTGCCTGTCATATAAAAATTATTAAGTTATCATCTTATTAACATAAAGCCTAAAACACATTATTTAAAATAAGCATTACCATCAATAATGGAAATACTAAAGATGCCATTTAATTAATTCATTGTTCTCTAAAAATATGATTGTTATTTCCCTTTTCACAGAATTCTATTTGGAAAAAGCCAGTGGCAGGGACAAGCTCAAGAGGAAGAGAATTCACATATATTAAAATAGATCCACGTTAACTTCAAAATTCAATACTGTTCTAATGTAAGACTTGAATAGCAACTTTTATAAAAGCTGAATCACAAACTCAATAGATTTCTTAGGATAAAGCCAATTTAAGAAACTTGTTATTTTTAATATACACTGAATGAATGCACTTTACCTCAACCTCTAATTTTATAGGATCTGGCTAACAAGCAGAAAGAGAAATAATTGCAACCAGCAATGTGGTTTCCACTAACAGGAGAAACAAAACTTACTTATCTGTATTTTCGACTTAAGTTAAATTCATAAAATAAAAACGTAGTCTGTTAAAACAGATATGGCAAAATCATCGGATAAAGTTATTAACAAGGTGGAGTGGAAGAGGTTTTGGAGATGCATACCACGGCAAATTGTTAAATAGCTTACTATTTTTACATTTCTCATGCAGGAATTACTACCAACAAGAGATAACTTTCCGTGTTATAACTGGTAATCACTAGTCTCCACACCACCTGGTTATGATGGGGACTCAAAACCGATTAAAAGAGCATCATGAAGAGTTTCCCAAATCTAACACATTCCCAAACTACAATGTCCATTACATTTTAATCCTTACAACTCGAGGCCATTTATAATTATTTGATGTTTATGCAATGGTTAATTAAAGCAATTACGTGAATTTAGGAATATAAATGCTGATAATACTAAACAGTCTCTGTGGCCTTGATAATCGGCTCCTCGGTTAAATGTAATTTAGAATCTTGAACACAGAGAAAAGGACTGGGTGAGGTTATAAAAGACCTGATAATACGAACAAAATCAGGAAAAGACAAAACAGCTTCAGAGCTCAAAGATGACTAAACAAAGACATCTAAGAGTTACACGATCTAGCCAATTTGAACAGTGAGCAAATGTCGTCCATGCAAGGCTTCTTATACTTTGGGAGATGCCAACCCACAGGAGGGTTAGCCTACAGCAGCACTCAACCCCTACCCTCTCAGGAGTTCTGACGTTTCTGAAGGAGAGGAAGAAAAGGTCAAATAACACTGAACTAGAGTAAGTCTGGAAACCAAAGACAGAATCAAATTATGGCTATTACTTTAAGTAGCAAGCAATGAATATACCTTAGTAACTTGGAGACAGTGGCCTATCTCAATATTTGTGATTCTGGAAGAGTACATGTAAACTATCTCCCTGAGCTACGCAAAAAAACAAACAAAAAAACAAACAAAAAAAACAACACAATACATCCAATACGACTACCTCTTTCTGCTGTTTTTGAATTGAAAAATTGGACTCTTCAGGTTCTGCTATCTCCCCCTATATCATTCTAGACTGTAGGGCCATCCCTATTGCCAGCAGATATGATCAGAAAAGGAGAGGCTGGAAGGATGATAGGTAACGAAGATTAAGCTAAGATACATTAACACAAAGACCATGTATTCGTTTCTGTGAGGATGAACCAATTAGAGCAGACAGGTGCAGCTACATGTATGCACTACATTAAGGTAGGGTATCCAACCCTCTTTGTTTGGCTGCCAAATCTTGTGGCATGGGTTTGTTTTTTGTTGAGAAGGAAGAAGCATGGTTATGCTGATAAACTGGGGGTGAGGTTGGCACACCGCTAAGTGAATATGGCATACAGCACTCCTCTTTGAGCTAGATATGACAATGTCATACCCATTTTTTTTTTCAGCCTTAACAATTGTTTGGAGAAAATAACTTTTAGTCACATTTTATTAAGGAAAATGAAGTGTGAATATGCTCACTTAAAAAATAGGTTAATATTCACTTTATTGGGGGATATGATGTTTTTGTCCCTACAGTCTGGATTGGTATAGGAGAAAGTAGCAGAAAGTGACATTTGTTCTTGCCTGTAAGGTTGTGGTTCTGCTAGGCCCTCTTAAACCAATCCATATGGTTCACTCTGAGAAACAAAAAACAAAGAAACAAAAACAACAAAAAAGAGCACCATAGTTACTATGTAGCGTGTGCTCGATGTGTTGAAATGATAAGGTAATTTCATAGATATATCTGCCCTTTTGTTGAAAATGAATATTCTTAAGTGTGGAAGACTAAATGACCCAGGGCTTGACAGCCATCTTCATCCAAGTCATCTGTCTTCTCTTGCTGGCAGGAGGGATACCTCTGAAAGTCTGGATTGGCATAGCATGAACTAGCAGAACCATAATTTACAGGTAACAACAAATTTACCTTCCAGACTCAGGACGAGAGGTCCACCTCAGGCTCCTCCCAAATCAGGAAGATCTGCTTCACCACTTCCTGCTCCAGGGCCACTCGTGAGGGCTATCTGGGAGCGACTCTCCTTCCCTGTAAGGTAAGCTGTCATCAGGTCCTGCAGGACATGGCCAAATCCACATGCTAAGGGCTCCCCAGCACAAATGAATGATAACCTACACCTGACTGTCGTCTATCAAAAAATAGTGGAGCGGGAAGTCTTATTTTCTGCACGTCAAGAACATTCCCAGATAGGCCAACAGCCCAGATGGCTAGTATTTAGACTCTCAGAGTGCTGATACACTGCCCATATATGATGTTTTATGGCAAAAATACAAATTTCCCTCCACAGAACTGCCAACCTACTTTGATAACTGCCCACGACCTTCAACAACTGGGCAGAGGTTAGCCCTGAAGTCGGCACATAGGTAACCAAGAAAGAATCTATCCCACTGATGATACGGCAAATGTACAGAAAGCCACCACTGAAACATCTTAAGACCAACAGGCATATGATTATTCAAGTTCATCTAGTAGACAAAGATGAAATATTGTTTGGCCGAAAAGGGGAGAAAATAGTACCGGAAATTAACTGGAAAGAAATTAGAATTCCTAAATGCTATCTGCTAAATGTGGTAGGAGGTCAAAACAGGAAAAGAACTGTTCCCTCTTTCTCCAGAAAGTCCACTCACCTTTTGATTTGAGACCAGAATCTACTCTCTGAGGTGGTGGCAGCAGGGTGAGGGGAGTGTGAAGGAAGTATACAAGATTTAATGGGGTGCATGGGGCAGGAGCAAGGTTAAGAATGGGAGAATGCTATGTGTGTTTAAAAAGGGGTAGGAAGCAGTGACTATTAATCTGAAAGGCATAAAATAGTCCACAATTAAAAAAAAAGTATTAAACCAATACTGTTTAAGAATTAGATCCCAATAGCAAAAGAGGAACCACTTTACAAAACAGATCAAAATTAAAATAATCTAGATTGTTTAGGCTTTCTTTAAAACATAAACAACAGGTGAACTTTTTCACCTGCTTTCCTGCAGAAATTCTACTTCATGGCAATACCGACAGCTAAATCAGATAGAGCACTAACAGGTGCTGGGAACGAACTGAAGTTTGATTTCCAGTAGAAAGAAATCCTGCAATCTAGGATGACGTAAGTTCTAACTTTAGTTAAAATGGACACGAATATTGATCTTCAACTTTTAGGAAAGTCGGGAAAAAAGCAAAAAAATAATTTTACTTGGAATGGATTATTTTAACTAATAAACATATACTTGAGAAGTCGAGAAGTGGATCACGAGTTTTACTGTAAAGAGAAACTACTGTTATTGCACATATACAAACAAAGGACTTCGGTTTTTGACCTTAAAATCCAAAAATATGCTTGTGACATATATTGCAAAGAAAGGTGAATAAACAAACTTATCTTCTTCTCAAAACACCAGGCACACAAGTCAGGAGCCAGAGGATTAGAATATAACATATAAGTAATACCAGGTATATTTGTGGAGGCAGGATGAAAGAGCACAGCCTTAAAGTTATGGCATATATGTGTACCAAGAACCTTTTTTAAAAAATGAAAACTGCAACTATTTTCAAGGGCGAAAAAAGTAGGATGATTTACAAACTCCTTAAAGTTATGGCACATATGTGTACAAAGGACTTTTTTTTTAATGTTTTATTTATTTTTGAGAGAGAGACAGTGCAAGCGGGGGAGGGTCAGAGACAGAGGGAGACACAGAATCCGACGACAGGCTCCAGGCTCTGAGCTAGCCGTCAGCACAGAGCCCGATGCGGGGTTCGAACCCACGAACCGCGAGATCATGACCTGAGCCAAAGTTGGACGCTTAACTGACAGAGCCACCCAGGCGCCCCAAAGGACCTTTTTTTTTTTTTAAAAAAAAAAAAAAGAAAATTGCAACTATTTTCAAAGGAGAAAAAAGCAGGATGGGTCTTAGCAAGGAGTTCTCAACAAGACACCAGAGTCCTCAGTCCACGTATCAAACGAAAAAAATCTCAAGTCTGTGAATCCATGTGTGAAGGATTGTAATTTTATGTTTCATGACCACTTGGGATAAGCGCATTTTGGCTTGTGCTGTAGTGTCTAGGAAAGGAATGGAGTACTTGATTTTACAAGGCAGATAATGGGAAATAGGACTGCTTCAATTTTAAAGACTACTGTCTTTAAAAAAATTAAGAATGCTTTAAAGCTCAATGTTGTATATACACATTGATCAACTGGAGGCTTTCTTGGTTTCAAACATAAATTACTCGAAGAAAATCACCTGCAAGTTTCATTAATGCTGTGTACCTAACTGGCATGTGGTACTGCAGTGATGTTTTGGATTTTTCCACAGTTAGGACAGATATGGATATTGCTTTCAGGGGCTGTGAACAAGTAGGAAATAAAGGTAGGAGATAGACCCATACAGACTATCAGTCTCTGCCCCTGGTTCCTGGCACAGAACCCTTAAAACCTTTGTAACTTCCCCTAAGTGATAATAGCACCATAAGCATCTTGTGTTCTTATGTTTGGTCTCTGACCCTGGGTCCTGACACAGAGCTCTTGGATCCTTTGGAATCCCGAGTGATAGGGACATCTTTTGTTCTAATAAGGAGACTCTGGGCAGGCTCCCAGATGGCCTCAGGATAGGGCCTGGTCACCAGAAAGACCGGGCCGGGAGCAGAAGCTTAGAACCTTCAGCCCCAGTCCCCATCCTCCGGGAAAGGGTCTGGAGACTGAGTTCCTGACTGATCATGCCTGTACAATGAAGCTTTCATCAGAATCCCAAAATACAGGCTTCACCTGCCAGCTAAGAGTAGATAAAACCGTAACTATAATCTTAAAACCTTTTGTAAGCTGCAGTGGCATAACGTGAGGAAGCGGTCAGCAGTCCCTAAAAGCAAACATCCTCTTCTGATTTCTTTTGCTTAGTGAAAAAAGGTACTAATGCAGGCCTTTCATAAAAGTGAAGTAGCATAAAGTGGACTTTGAGATAGCGAGAGAAATCTGTATATGGGTTCAGAGAGCTTCCAGATCGGAGAGCACTTGGGGGTGCTGGGAGACTGATGTGCCCAGAGAGAGTACAGAGGCTCCATGTCCCTTCTCACAACCTTGCCTTACGTATCTTTTCATCTGGCTGTTCACCTGTACCCTTTATTATAACCTGTGTAATAAACGGGCAAGCATTAAGTATTTGTTTCCCTGGGTTCTGTGAGCCATTCCAGCAAAATACTGAGCCCAAGGAGCAGGTCACGGGAACCCTGGTTTACAGCCAGTTGGTCAGAAGCACAGGCAACAACCTGGAACTTTTGATTGGTATCTGAAGTGGGGGGTCATCTTGTGGGACTGAGCCATGAACTTGAGGGTGTGATGAACTCCAGGGAGACCGCGTCAGAACTGAGCTGAATTGTCAGACACCCAGCCGGTGTGAGAACTGCTGGATGTGTGGAAAACCTGCACATGTGAGGTCAGGAATATTATTACATGGCAGTATAGTATGTATGAGTAAAAGACAAACACAGGAGTGGTTTTCCTATAAGGGCTTAATTCAAAACCACATTAAAAAAACAAAATACTATGCATTAGGAAAAGCAGATTAAAGCCCCAAATTGAAATTATAATCCAGCTACTGAAAATAGTAGCCAGAGTTTCATTTATAAGAGATGAATCAGATGACCTAGATGATTTTTAAGATATTTTACAGTGTTGTGACATGATTTACAATTAATTAGAAGTGTTATTACATAATTCAGCGGTTTCCAACCTCAGAGATGGCCATGGACGGGGGAGCCCAGGATCAGGGGCCAAGGCCCTGGCCACCCCACCCCACCCCACTCTTGCTAGACCAACTGGTGTATCCCCCTCTTATCCTACCTATGCTTATTAGGAAAAAGAGCAATAATTCTGAAGCTTAAAAAAGTCTCAAAACTACCAAACTTTCACCTAGACAAAATGAAAGATATATTAGTAGACATATTTTTAACAGTTGGGACTCAATTTCCATTGCTAATTATAAAAAACACCAAACACTGCTGTAACTGAGGGACTGAATATGAGCCACTGTGCATAATTATAGCAATTACCAAAGAGGACACTGTCCTATGATATACTTTGCAGAAACTTCATCTTCAAAAGTTTAAAGACAGGCTGCAGAAAAGAGGATTCCTCTCTTGAAATCCTGTGATTTTAGAACAAATCACAATCATACGTAAGTGCCAGAAAAAATGAAGTGTTTGTTTACCCGTGACCCATACTCCAGGTGAGGCTGGGTTACGTTAGCACAGCAAGGCAGTCACTGCTCTCACCCCCATCTTGGTTCATTTGGAACAGCTCTGCTTCCACATTACACACTGGAGGCTTCTTAAAATTATTTTTTTTAAGTTTGTTTATTTATTTATTTATTTAAAATTTTTAAATGTTTTATTTATTTCTAGGAGAGAGAGAGAGAGACAGCGTGAGCAGGGGAGGGTCAGAGAGAGAGGGAGTCACAGATTGAAACAGGCTCCAGGCTCTGAGCCGGCAGTCAGCACAGAGCCCGACGCGGGGCTCGAACCCACGAACCGCGAGATCATGACCTAAGCGAAAGTCGGACGCTTAACCGACTAAGCCACCCAGGCGCCCCTAAGTTTATTTATTTTTGAGAGAGAGAGAGAGTGTGAGTACACACTGAGGAGGGACAGAGAGGGGGGAAGAGAGAGAGACAATCCTCAGCAGGCTCCACGTTGAAATCAGCTTGGGGCTCTATCTCATCAACCCTGAGGTCATGACTTGTGCCAAAATCAAGAGTCAGATGCTTAACCGACTGAGCCATCCAGGTGCCAAGTAAAATTATGTTTGAAAAAGAATCTTCTAGGAGCAGAAAAAGGCCCCCAACCTGTGCTCAGCTGGGGAAGCTGGGAATAAGGCAGATGCAGAGGCCGAAGGAGGGGAGCTTTACTGATGAAACAGAGTTAGGGTGGGGGGGTTGAGTCTCAGCAGATAAGAGGGCGAGTGAAAACAGGCAGGGCCTTGGGCTCCCAGCAGTTCCTGACAACAGACTTTCTACAGCCAAAGCCAGTAGCTCTCCTTGGAGACCTAGAAAACTATTCTGGGGAAGAACCAGGAAGAGTCAGCTCTATAGGATAAAATCAACTGTAGCATGAGGTCTGACCTAAACCAAATGGCTTCAAGTGAAGATGCTGGTTAAGGCAACAAAGCAAAGTCATTTGTACTAAAACACACTTGTAAATTACCAGTATCAGTTGCTTTTCTACTTGATGAGAAAAAGGCAGTAAAGAAAGACAAGTGGAACGGGAAGACCATGGGTTTCTGAGCGAGAAACACGAGCCTGCATGGTATTCTTATTAATAATACAATGAAGGCTAGCTGCTCTAATCTATATGACAGAACACTTTAATCTTATAACAGCAAAGTTGAAAACAAAATCGATTTTGTTATTATAATAGATTTTCTTATAAAGAACTTTAATACAGTATTAGTCAAAGACACAGACATGATATCAAATCTGCTTTTGGGATTTTGAAATGCTTTAAAAAAATACCTTGACTACTTACATAACACAGCTTTACATGGTTTATGATATCAAAACATAAACAAACCAAAATATTAAAGACAAGAAAAGAGATAAAGACTTCAGAAAGAGACAACAAAGGTTCCAGGTATTTAGGACAAGAGAGTTATTAGAACTTAGTCTGATTTGGATTCTGAAAAACAGAAAGAACTATAAAGAAAAGAGTTAAACATTGCTTCTCTGTTCTCTTTAATGTTGTTGCTGCCATATATTTAATGCATTTCACAATGTGACACTACCATTCACATAACGGTAAAGTAAATTATGTACTTTACACCAAGATGAAGTTTCTAAGATCCCACTTAGCTTGGTTCAGAGAGTTAGCATGCCACCACTTAAGGGCTGAACACCCGTACTTTCAGGAAAGAAAACTAGCAAATCAATAAACTCAAACTTTCCTTTATACTTTTACCACTGATTCCATTAGCTCGGGCTTGATCAAGATCCTTTACTGGCAGTGAACAAATGAAAATTCACTTGGGTTCCCACAGCAAAAACTCAAACTCACTTGTCCACATGCTGTTATTTAAAAGTAACATGCTAACTTAACAAAAATGTTTGGTGTAAACAACATTTCACTCATTCATTTTGTAAATTCCCTTTTGTTTTTGTACATAGTAGCAGATGGAACCTTTAAATATAAATTAAACTTGTTGAAAGTTCAAAAAAGTACTGGAGAAAATCACAAATAATTGAATAAAAAGAAAAGAGTATCAAAAGGAATGAACCTATGTCAGATAGGTTCTGTCAGATAAGTTAAAATTTTTAACTTAATTCTGAATTACTACATACACCCTGTAAGAATGTACTTGCTAAAAAGAATACCCTGCAAAGGGTTTTCCATGATATATCATGTATTTCAGCCGACAATACTGTATTTCTAATAGCTCCTTCCTTGTTTCTCTGATTTTACCCTTGAGGACAAAAAGATAACTAGTAGAAAGATCCTTCCATTTCTCAATTATCAGGTCGGATCACACAGATTTAGGGAACATGCATGATGTGTGACTTGTATCACACAGGACCACATGACATTGCCAATACACGTGATATACAAAACCAGCACCGGATATGGTTCAACTTATTATGAAAACTGGAGGAGAGACTAGTACTTTTTCCTATTCAAATAATTTCAAGTTGTAATTTCTTTACAGGACACTTTTACTTGTACAACTTCTAAAAGTTATTATTAGGTATTAATAGGTATAATGTAAAAGTAACACTTTTATGACAATGTATAAAATAAAGATCTTCTAAAGGTAACATGCTTAGGTGTACTGTACCTTCAAATTTAAACAATGACAATGCATTTGAATACAAGGTGAAGAAATCCATACTCACATGTTTAAAGCAGGTAACTGGAGCGGCTATAAAGCTATTGCTATTGATGTAGTTACCCCAGCTGAAGCCTTCCATGGAGACTGCTGCTGAAAAAAATTAAATTTAGTTATATTACAATTCTCACATCTTTTATTTATAAGAAAATGTAAAATGATATATAACTAACGGATCACTTGGGGCGCCCGGGTGGTTCAGTGAGCTAAGCGTCCAACTCTTTGGTTTCGGCTCAGGTCATGATCTCATGAAGAGATCGAGCCCTGTGTTGAGGTCTGCTGGCAGCATCAGCCTGTTGGGATTGTTCTCTCTCTCTCTCTCTCTCTGCCCCTCCCCAGTTCTCTCTCTCTCTCAAAATAAATAAGTAAACTTAAAGAAAAATGAACTTATTTTGAAAGTTTTCTTTTTTCCTATAAAGATTTAAGACCTTTTCTAAGTAAACATGAACTTTCACATAGATCATTTCTGCAAACTAATGTTAACTTACATCTTCCATCCACAGCATCAGCTCCTTGGGAAGTAAAGTAAGAAAGAGCTCTTCAGTCCTAAGCAGCAAAGAACAGCTGAGAGCAGAAGTGTTCAGGATAAGAAACACTGCCATGGCTGCTTTTGGGTTTTTATTCCCATGTAGCTGTTGCTACGTACCTCAACGAGATTTTTTTTAAGTGTTTTTTGGGGGACACCGGGGTGGCTCAGTTGGTTAGCCATTGGACTCTTGATTTCAGCTCAGGTCATGACCTCAGGGTCATGAGATGGGAGTCCCGCAGAGGGCTCTGTGCTGGGCATGGAGCTCACTTAAGATTCTTTCTCTCGCTGGGGCGCCTGGGTAGCTCAGTCAGTTAAGCATCGACTAGGGTCATGATCTCACGGTTCAAGGGTTTGAGTCCCGCATCAGTTCTGTGCTCATAGCTCAGAGCCTGGAGCCTGTTTCAGATTCTGTGTCTCCCTCTCTCTCTGCCCCTCCCCCACTAGTGCTGTGTCTCTCTCTGTCTCAAAAATACATACCTCCCCCAAAAAATAAAAAACAAAAAGATTCTTTCTCTCCCTCTCTTCATGTCCTTCCCTACTCATGCGTGCTCTCTCTGAAAAAAAATAAGTTGTTTTTTTAAAAAAAGTTTGTTTATTTTTGAGAGAGAGAGAGTGAGAGAGAAAGTATCTCAAGTAGGCTCTACACTGTCAGTGCAGAGTGCAACTCAGGGTTTGAACCCACTGAACCATGAGATCATGACCTGAGCTGAAATCAAGAGTTGGACACTTAACTGACTGAGCCACCCAGGATCCTTGAAACTTTTAAGTCATCTACACCTAACATTGGGCTTAAATTCATGATCCCAAGATGAAGAGTTGCTGCTCTTCTGACTAAGGCAGCCAAGAGCCCCACTCAATGAGATTTCTATCCAGGATCTGCCACTAATATGTTCACTAGGGTTTTCACTGCTTCAGTCCCTACTCCACTTCCTTGCTTCTGTCCCCATTACGAATCTTCTATCAGGGCACCTGGATGGCTTAGTCAGGTAAGTGTCCAACTCCTGGTTTTGGCTCAGGTCATATCTCATGGTTTGTGAGTTTAAGCCCCCTGGCAGGTGCTGCGCTGACAGTCCAGAGCCTGCTTGGGATTCTCTCTCTGCCCCTCCCCCACTGGTACTCTCTCTTCCTCAAGATAAATAAACTTTAAAAAAAGCTATTAGAAATGATCCTTTCCTCAATCTCTTCCCCTTATGACTTTCGTCTCCCCACTCTCTTGTGAAGCCTGCTAAACATCCTCTTTGCTTATAATCTCCATAATGCTTCCCACCATCCACAGCTCAGAAGTGGAACCTAAAAAATAATTAACCAAATAAAAAATGTTTTTGAAATTATCATTTATTAAAAATTTTAAAAAATGTTTATTATTTTTGAGGGAGGGAGAGAGGGGGACACACATACACACACACACACACACACACACACACACACACACACCCAAACAGGGGAGGGGCAGAGCGAGTGGGACACAGAATCTGAAGCAGGCTCTAGGTTCCAAGCTGTAGGCACAGACCCTGACACAGGGCTCGAACTCATTAACTGTGAGATCATGACCTGAGCCAATGTTGGATGCTTAACCACTGAGGCACCCAGGTGTCCCTGAAATAAAAAACGTTAATAAAAAATGAAATAAAAAATGTTCACTGCCACAAGCACTGTGAAATTGTCAACACAACTACTGTCTTCTAGAATTATTTATTTATTTTTATGAAGTTTAGTTATTTGAGACAGACAGACAGGTGAGTGGGGGTAAGGCAGAGAGAGACAGAATCCCAATCAGGGTCTGAGCTGCCAGCACAAAATGTGACATGGGGCTCGAACTCACAAACCATGAGATTATGACTTGAGCCGAAATCAAGAGTCAGATGCTTAACCAACTAAGCCACCCAGGCGCCCCTAGAATAGCTTTTTGAAACCAAAACCATCGCCAGGAAGCCTGATGTTATAACATACTGTACTAGTATGACGTAGAAATAGCTTAGTTAACAAAATCCAAAATTTAAACGTTATTAACTAAAACTAGATGAATTGTTATCAAATGTTTCTTCTACTGCATTCACCAATATTACCTGCTTTCGTCTTTGCTTGATTTTGCAAGGTAGCTTGATACTGAGCATATGCGGCTAGTTTAGCAACTAAAGGTTGTTTCTGAAGAACTTTTGCTTTCTTTGTTGGAGGCTTACCCTAAAACAAGAAGAGTTAAGTAAATAGGATTCTTTTTCATCCATCCCCCTCCACCGAAAAAATTAACTTGATTGCATACTACTCATTCTGCTTAAACATCAAGGGTTTAGAAAATTATTAAAGCAGAGGAAACATACAAGGAATTTTAACATGAGAAATGTGTTTGGAGTTCTGCTACAATGTAGACATCTATTATGGGTAGCAGAGCTGGCACAGACTAAAACAGCAATATGCAAATTAATATGTTAATAAAAAATTATATCCCATAAGATGTTAAAATATAGGCTGTGGTGGATAGTTGATTCCTTCTTATACTAGATAAAACCAGTGGTTATTCACTCATGCAGGCTGCCAAGCATTGCTATTTATATGGTAAGAGAAGATAATTTAATGTTTAAAGAGCAAGTGACTGAGGTTTATACCTTTAGTGCTAACGCAAAAGATCAATGACAAAATGATCATGGGCCAAATTCACAGTGTGACAAACTGCCATCCATTTGGGTACAGACCACTGCTCAGGATCTTAGGTACTGTCTATCTGAAATATAGAAATACATCTAAGTGATGTATTTCCTTAATTTGGGGAATTTATATAATCCTTTCAGTGCTATGTAATGATCACAATCAGTTACAGGAGAATAAGAAAAATGTGATCACTCAAATAAAATATATTGCAAAAATCAGTTAAATGCCTTAAATACATTGTTTATATGCTACAATAGTAACAACTTAGTCAAATGGTCAAATCTCCATTTTGGAGGCATTGATGTACATTTAAAGAAAGATGATTTTTTTATACCATGAACGTTTACAAAAAGGTTAGTTGGATTAACCAAACACAGTTGTTCAAGGTATCAAATAGGTTGCAATCAAAATATATTTCCCCCCAAATACTGAATTAATTCTACCTTGATGTTAACTCAAAAGGAAACCGGGGGGGGGGAGGGGGGGAAGGCTTCAATTTCTGTATATAATAAGGTATTTATATTTATACTTATCTAGGAAATGAGTAAGTGTTTATAATTCACTTACACAGTTTCATAGTTTACTCTGGACAGTACGTCTTGTCTATTTGTAACAGTTGTTCAATTTTACCGACTGAACAAACTTTGGGAATTACACATTCAGGAAAAAAGTGGGGTATAAAATGGTAACTGGCCAACTGGGTAGAAGTGGAGTGCAGTGAATCACAATCCAATGACAGATAAACAGGGAAAGCCATAGAAATAACAGATATAAAGAATAAGAAGGTTTCTGTACCGTTACCTGAAGTCTGGCCAAAATGCTTGCCTTCTTGGAGTTTGACGAATAGCTTCTTGAACATGAAACGCTACAGAAACGCTTTGTTTTGGAGTAAAAAGCATCTCGCACACCAACCATCCCACACATCTCACAGGTAGCTAATTAAGAAAACAAAAACAATGGTGTTATGATCATGTAATGAAGCCAATTTTTATCTAACGATTTAATAATCACTTGACAGTTTTAAGTATCTGCCTTCTAACAGGAAATTTCTTCTGTTACACAAATGATAGAAAAGCCCATGCAAAAAGTTAAGAGAAAATACTGGTATGATGCCACGGCCACAGCTCCTGGTCTGACCCCAGCTCAAGGTCTAACAGGCTTTACAAAGGGTCTAAACCCACAAACAAAATAAATCAGATTCAACATACATTTCCTTAGTGCTCACCACGTGCCAGGCATTCTCGGATACATTAAGAGCTCTCGCCTTTGAAAGGATTATAAACAAAAGAGGAAAAGAAATACAAGGCAACTAAGCATTAACAGAAAGTACAACCTAAAAAGGGCCAAGTCTTGGAAACATGCTAAGGGTAATACAAAGATTCTTTCAAGTTATGTTCAGAGGACAAGAAGGAAAGGAGAGGGTCAAAAGCCTTAGGTAGGTGTTTGATTACTCACTGATAATAGAGGAAAACAAAATCCTCTACTACTGTGCCTCTTTTGTAAATCAGCATAATAGACAATGATCTGAAAGGCAGAATTACAAGAAGGGTCCCAAGAACTGGCGTTCAGAACTGGCAAACAGACAGATAGCTGGGACTGGGATTATAGGTCATGACAGTTCTATTTTTAATTTTTTGAGGAAGTGCCGTGTTCCATAATGGGTACGGCAATTTACGTTCCCACCAGCAGTATTTGAGAGTTCCCTTTTTCCACATCCTCACCAACATTATTTCTCTCTGATCTTTTCGATAATAGCAATCCTAATAGGTGTAAGGTGGTATCTCCTTGGGGTTTCGACGGGCATTTCCCTGATGGCCAGTGACGCAGAACACCTTTTCCTGCACCTGTGGGCCGACTGTATGTCTTCCTAGAGAAGTATCTATTCAGTTCCTTTGTCCCTTTTTCACTTTACATGATTTGTTTTCTTCTTTTGCTACAGAGTTATAGGAGTTCTTTATCAGATATGATTTGCATTTTTACCATTCTGTAGGTTGGCTTTTCAATTTATTGTTTCCATTGCTGTACAGACTTGAGTTTGATGTAGGCCCATTTGTTTCTTTTCGTTTTTGGTCTCTTATCCAAGACATCACTACAAGACCAGTGTCCAAAAGCTTTCCCCTATATTTTCTTCTAGTTTTATGTTTTCAGGTTTTACACTGAAGTCTAATCCAGTTTTTTTAATTCTTTTTTTAGTTTATTTATTTTGAGAGAGAGGAGAGAGAATCCCAAGCACTGACAGTGCAGAGCCCGATGTGGGACTCGAACCCACAAACCAGGAGGTCATGACTGAGCTGAAACCTGAGTCGGATGCTTAACCGAATGACGCACCCAGGCTCCCCTATGTCTGATCCATTTTAAGTTAGTTTTTGTGAGTGGTGTAAGACAAGGATCCAGTTTCATTCTTTTGCATGTGCATATCCAGTTTTCCCAACGCCTTTATTAAAGAGACTGTCCTTGCCCTATTCTGTATTCTTGGTGCCCTTGTCAAAAATTAGTTGACCGTAAATCAGTATCTCAAACAGATATCTGAATTCCCATGTGCACTGCAGCATTAGTCACAATAGTCAAGATAATGCAAACACTTAAGTGTCCTTCGATAAATGAATGGATGCATAAAATGTGGTATATGTGCATATATAAAATATTATTCATTTTAGTGGAGTATTATCCATCCATAAAAAAGGGAGGGCATCCTGCCATTTGCAACAACACGGCTGAACAGGAGGGCAGGGTATACACTAAGAGAAATACTGTATGGGATCATTTACATGTAGAAGCCTAAAAAAAAAAAAATCCAATTTCAAAGTAACAGAAAATAGAATGGTGATTGCCAGGGGTTGTGGGGAGGGGGACATGTAGGTCAAAGGGTACAAGGTTTCAGTTACAAGAAGAGTAAATTGTGAGGATCTAACACACAGCATGGCAACTATAGTTAATAATACCGTACCGCACACTGGGAAGTTGCCGAGAGTAGATACTGTGCTCTTCCCCACGACCCCACACACAAGGAGTGACCTTTGTGAAGCCGTGGGTATGTTACTTGTCTTGATCTTGGTAACCATCCCACAATGTAGATGTGTATCAAATCATCACACTGTACACGTTAAATACATGCAACTATCTCTGTCAATTATTCCTCAAAAGAGCTAGGAAAAAACAAAAAAAGAAAACACCAGAAAGTAACATAGCAAAAAGCTGTCTGAGTGGGCTTAAATCTCCACCCAAACAATTAAACTTAAAAGGACTTGCAGTTTTAACCAGTACTTATAAATCTATTGAGAAATCAGGAAAGAAACAAAGGTACCACAGGATCTGAGATGAAGAAAGGGTGCTTAAGGAGAGGAGAAACTGAATGGTTTTCTTTTGAAAAAGTTATAGGGGCGCCTGGGTGGCTCAGTCGGTTGAGCATCCAATTCTTGATTTCAGCTCAGGTCATGATCTCAGGGTTCAGGAGACGGAGGCCCGTGCTGGGTTCTGTGCCGACAGCACAGAGGTTGTTCGGTATTCTTTTTGTCTCTCTGCCCCAACCCTGCTTGCACACACACACTCCCTCTCAAAATAAACAAACGTTAAAAAAAAGAAAAAGTTATAGAACATATTATTAAAAAGACCTGTGACCATCTAGGTAAAGAAGCTGTGATCCCAAGGGGATAGCGAATCTTTGTCAAGAATTATACATATTAAACCAGACTTCCCGTGACTGGGATGGAGGCCCCACCCTGGCAGGACTATGCTGTATTATCTCTGTATCTCTAGTATTTAAAACACAGCCCCCGTCACATATTTTCCTAAAAATATTTTTTCTTTAGCTTACTTTAACATTATATAATATAAAAAAAACATAATATCATGTGTTAATCGACTATTAATGTTATCAACAGGGCGCTATTAGTAATTAAGTTTTTATTTATTTTGAGAGAGAGGGAAGAGGGAGGGTGGGAGGGAGAGGGAATCCCAAGGAGGTTCTGTGCTCAACCAAATACCCACACTTGATCTCACGACTGAGACCATGACCTGAGCAGAAATAAAGGGTCAGACACCTTTTTAAAAAATATTATTTATGTATTTATTTTGAGATAGAGAGCACAAGCAATAGAGGAAAAGAGAGAGGAGGAGAGAGAGAATCTGAAGCAGGCTATTAGCACAGAGCCTGATGCAGGGCTTGAATTTACAAAACCTGAGATCATGACTTGAGCTGAAATCAGATTTGGATGTTTAAAGGGCTGAGCCACCAAGGTGCTCCCTACTAATTTCCTGGGGAATCAGAAGTTACACGTAGATTTTCAACTGCATGGGAGATTGGCACTCCTAACCTATGTTGTTTGAGGGTCAACCATATATTAACAGGACTAACACAGATTTTTTTTCAGGAGTTAACACATTTGATAAAATCTCTCATGTAGCTTTGTTAATAAAGACTGAGAAATTTAAGGTCCTGATAAATGAGGAGAAACCTTTTTTTGAATTTTTTTTTTAATGTTTGTTTGTTTATTTAGAGAGAAATCAGGGGAGCAGCAGAGAAAGAGGGAGAGAGAGAATCCCAAGCACGCTTAGCACTGTCAGCACAGAGCCTAACGTGGGGCTCAAACCCATGAACCATGAGATCATGACCTGAACCAAAACCAAGAGTCAGACTCTTAATCAGCTGGGCCCCCTGGGTGTCCCAAGGTTTTTTTTTTTAGGTTTATTTATTTAATGTTCAGTAATCTCTACAGGCAATCCGGGGCTTGAACTCACGACCCTGAGATCAAGAGGTGCAGGCTCTTCCAGGTGAGTCAGCCAGGAACCCCAATAATGGGAAGTGTTCTGATACAGCTTACAAGACTCTGTCCCGGGCCCTGTGCTATTCAACTTTCTAAGACTACAATACCTAAGGGCGTTATTATCAAATCTACAAACAACATGAAACTAGAAGATTACATAACACAACCTTATGCTAAATGACAGAATTAGAAGTAAAAATTTCTAAGATCGAAATTCAGTAAGAAAAAGGTTACATAGGATAATTTAAAGTTTTAAAAAATCATGGCAGCTGGAAAGGGGCTGGAACTTAGCAGGCCTTAAAAGGAAAGCCCCCAGAAGCTTTTCTGCCTCCAAATCCAGAGCCTGTCCTGTTGGGGACTAAGGAGGTGCCTAATTCTCACCAGATACCTGCCACACTCAGAGAAAGGCCCCCGAGGACAGCACAGCGGACAGCTCAACCAGTGTCCACAGGAGAAACCCCTGTAGTCACACCTGCTGTCTGTCATCCTGGTGGATGGCCTGGGGACGTCCGTGCCGGTCTTCGGCCCTCAGACTCCACCAGCCAGGGCTCCCAACCTGGCTCTGGGGTGTCAAGGATCTAGGATAGTTATTCCGGCATGGATCCCCGCTACTCTGCTTCCCTTCATCAAGAGAGCCGTGAAGAGAAACGTACGGCTGATTTCATCTACTAGGTCCACCTTCAGCCCTAACTTGGGAGTGAGCCTGAAATCACTCCTGGGCCCTCTTCAGGGCCTGAATTATTCTTCAGTTGTTAAAATCAGAACGCTTTCATGGCAGACTGACTCCTGAATCTAAGTGGTATCAACAAGGCTGGATCTTGTTCCCCTTCAGCGTTCTCAGGCATCCCTGGTGTATGCAGCCCCAGGGAGGGCTTCTGGGGGATACTTCCTCTCATCCTTGCCCTCCGGCCACCCCCCCTAGCAGGTACCCACATCCCAACTGTACAGATGGAAAAACAGGCTCAGTGGGTTAGAGGCTTGCCCAAGGCCAAAAACTTAACTCCAAATCTACCTGATCCACCTGCTTTCCCCTCTTCCCTAGTCTCTGTGATGACCTTGGAAGTAACCTTGTCTGGATCCCAAGTGAAGTGAGAGTATGATCTTCCGCTTTTGCCAATAGGAAGCCTCTCTGCTGACAGCGCAAGTACCAGAAGCCTGGACCCTGCAGAAGGCCCTCGGTGAGGTACTGATGGATTAAAAATAAGCTTTCAGGCACTGCACACCCAAAGATGGTTGTATTTCCAGATCTTTCATCTCTGCAATGTTTCGTGTGGTCAGTCAGTTACATGGCTGCCATCTAAATGGCTCAGCATGATACCTTCAAAGTCCTACCTCCCAATCTTTGCTAGTGTAGTTCCCTCCTTCCACAGGGTTCTCCCACAGCTTCTTACCTCTTCCTTCAGAGCCAGCTCAAATATGCCTCCCCTGGGAAGTCCTCCCACGTTAGAATTCATCACCTGCCCTTGATGCTCCCATAGCCCTTGCTTGTGCCTCTCCTAAAAGTATTTTTTTTTTTAAATGTTTTATTTATTTCTAGGAGAGAGAGAGAGACAGCGCGAGCAGGAGAGGGTCAGAGAGAGAGGGAGTCACAGACTGAAAGAGGCTCCAGTCTCTGAGCTGGCAGTCAGCACAGAGCCCGACGTGGGGCTCGAACCCATGAACCGCGAGATCATGACCTAAGCGAAAGTCGGACGCTTAACCGACTAAGCCACCCAGGCGCCCCTCCTAAAAGTATTTTCAAAACAGCCTCATATCATTTATTAAAAAATAAAAAGTGTGGGGGGGGAGCACCTGGCTGGCTTGGTTGGCGCAGTATGTGACCCTTGATCTTGAGGTTGTGAGTTTGAGCCCCATGTTGCATGTAGAGGTTATTTACACACACACACATACATACACACACACACACACACACACACACATCTTTTAAAAAGTCAACCGCTAATGCACAAGACTGGTTTAACCAGTGAAGTTAAATGCACAAGACTGGTTTAACTGGTTTAGTGGTGAAGCTGTGGTAAGGACTAAGGGGTTTCAGTCATACACGAAATCAGTATTACTTTCAAAAAAGTTAAAGCAATTCTGTGGCATGAGTGGAAGCACAGTGTTCTGAAAGAGGGAGATGAAGGCTGAACTACGTGCTGCCCTAATTACACAGGTGACCAGCCATTTGCCTGAGGTGCTTTCCAGGACACGAGACTTTCAATCCTAAAAACAGGATAGTCTTGGGCAAGTCATGATAAGCTGTTGCTCTACCACCATGTAACCTGAAGCATGCCCAGAGGAAAGCAACCAAGACTGTGATGAATTAAGATCACTGTGACACTACGAGAAATCACTGAAGCAATTAGTGTTCTAGTGTGAAGAGTTATCATCATAACAAGGATTAGGATTATTCTCTGTACTCTAAAAGGCAAAATTAAGACCCAAAGACAAAATTGAGAGCAAGGATAATTTTGGTTCCATATGAAGAATAATCTGGTAATTAGAGATACCCTACCACCGGCAGCGTTAAAAAAGAAAACTTCTTATAAGGAATTCTTATAGAGGAGAGAGATTCACTCTGCAAGCGTTATCAGCTGTATAAGCCCATGATCCTATACTTTCAGTTACACTGGGATTTATTATCTCATTTCTGTCCACATTGTGTTTCTCAATAGCCTTTTTAAAATTTTGTTCTACTTGCTTTCTGACAGAATATGGTGGGTAGGCAAGATAAAAAGATCAACTGGAAATCTAGTGATCGTATCTACAACACTAGGTTTCAGACTGTGTTTCTTTTTTCCTTGAAAAATTTCAAGGAAGGGAAATGAAAGAAGAAATGGAATCAAAACATACCCTCCAGTATGAAGCTGCGTTAATAGTGACAGGCTGTATACTCACCCATGCCAGATTTGCCATCTGGGTATGTGTAGACTTGTCCATTGTTTTTGATGATTGGGAGGTTAGACGGTAAAGGAGCAACTTCTTCTTCACTCTCCTCGGAGCTGGAGCTGCTACTTGTGTCCTCACTGCAGCTGTCATAACCGTCAAACATCCCGAACGAGTCTCTTCTTTTCCTTTCAAGGCGTGAAGAATGTTCAGTCTTAAAGTAGAAGAAACCAAGAACACATGACACAACACAGATACACAACCCTCCCTTCCCCCAAAGAACTTAGTTCAAACTGTGGTGATATCTGAAAAATGAAGATCTAGTCCTAAGAAATGATAATTGTATTTTGTAACGAAATGTTTGTTTCAAAATGGAGCCTTTCCTTTCTAAAGAGTGCAAACTTATTAGTCACTATGTTAGCTAATATAAGAATATCAATGATGGGGGCGCCTGAGTGGCTCAGTCAGTTGAGTGTCCGACATTGGCTCAGGTCATGATCTCATGGTCCATGGGTTCGAGCCCACGTCAGGCTCTGTGCTGACAGCTAGCTCAGAGCCTGGAGCCTGTTTCAGATTCTGTGTCTTCTTCTCTCTCTGCCCCTCCCCTGCTCAGTCTTACTCTGTCTCTCAAATATAAATAAATGTGAGGAAAAAAAAAAAAAAGAATACCAACGATGACAATAAACACCGAACAGGATCAGAAGATCATGTAATTCAAGCTTTGCTATAAACTAGGTAGGTCACTTCTCTATAGAAAGGATTAGAGGGGTGCCTGGGTGGCTCAGTTGATTAAGCGTCTGACTTCAGCTTGGGTCATGATCTCACAGTTAGTTCATGCACGGGTTTGAGTCCTGTGTTGGGCTCTGTGCTGACAGCTCAGAGCCTGGAGCCTGCTTCAGATTCTGTGTCTCCCCCTCTCTCTGCCCCTCTCCCACTTGTACTCTCTCTCTCTCAAAAAATGAATAAACATCAAAAAAATTAAAAAACAGATGAGATGGTTTCTTTAGGTTGTTGTGAAATACACATAACAGTTTCTCAATTTACCTTTCATCTCTAAAAGTGTAGATTTTTATTATAATTTAGAGCATCCAAGAAAAATCACTGCAAAGAGTTCTGGAGTGATTAATTGGTAATTTTTAATTTTAGAGACAATTTTTAGATAATCACTATTTCAAAAATTATAGAAGTTAACATCTGTACATTTGCAGCCTTATCTCATTTTTTCTTTAGCATAAAAAATGGTTAAAAAAACTCCAAGTATCTCAGGCTAAACATTATTTCCTTTTGAAAAGCTCAAAGCCACTACCTCATCTTCAGTGAACGCTACACATTTGCTCCTCCAGAAGATATGCTCTCAAGCCACCCAAACCCCCCCAAAAGTTGAGTCGTCAACTCAACCTTTCCTGAAATAAACTGCAAAACTTCAAGTTTAGGGAGAAGAAAGTAAAAAGAAACTAGGAAATAATAAAGAGGGAAGAAAATCTTCAGGAGAAAAGAATCTAGAAGGAAACAGGAGCAATGCAGGGAACAAAAGAAACCTTCAAAAAAAAAAAGATGATAATATGTGATGGGACAACTAGAGTGAAAAGTGTCAGCTAAAAAACCTATAGTCTGGCACCTATCAATGTTTTGCTTCAGTCAGTATTTTTTGGTATCATTTTACACTTTACCCACAATTTATCTTCTGGCTAGTGTAACTTCCTCCCATGACCAATACAAAGCTGAACTCTGCTGTCGAAAGCTTGACAAAATAAAAGCATCCAAATGCATCTCTTAGTTTGAGAAGAGTACGCTGTCACTTTCAGGTGTGCAGTTAGGAAACATGCGCACTAAAGTGGAAAACTGATTTTCACTTAAATCAAGTGTAACCATGAAAGCAGCAAAAGTAGTGTCTTAATCCACACAATGGAAATATTTTATGCCCAGATGACTATTATCTTTTTTTTTTTTTTTAAATGTTTTATTTATTTCTAGGAGAGAGAGAGACAGCGTGAGCAGGAGAGGGTCAGAGAGAGAGGGAGTCACAGATTGAAACAGGCTCCAGGCTCTGAGCTGGCAGTCAGCACAGAGCCCAACGCGGGGCCCAAACCCACGAACTGTGAGATCATGACCTAAGCGAAAGTCGGACGCTTAACCGACTAAGCCACCCAGGCGCCCCTTAAGAAGTCCCCTTATGAGGCTCTATGCGTGTTCTAATGCTGTTGCCACAATCTCCAACTTCTTATAGTATTCTTCCTTTAGAACTATTTTTTAGACCCAGTTTTAAAAAGAAAGTCCCATCATTTGTGGTACTTTGAAATTGATCCATTTCCCTCAGTAGTTTTCTTCCCTAGCTTAAATATCCATCTTATTTAACAAATTTGGTTCTGAATCACTCGCGGGTATTTTTTTAAAAACTCAGATGTATTTTCAGGGCACCTGGGTAGCTCAGTTGGTTAAGCATCCGACTCTTGATTTCAGCCCAGGTTTGTGAGTTAGAGCCCCGTGTCTGGCCCTGGGCTGACAGAGCAGAGCCTGCTTGGAATTCTCTCTGTCTCTCTCTCTCTCTGCCCCTCTCCCGCTTATGTGTGCTTTCTGTCTCAAAATAAAGAAATAAACTTATTAAAAAAATCAAACATATTTTCAAAGAATCAAAATGTACTACCACTAGATTTCAAAAGAATAAGGTTTTGAAGGTAATGCCAAAAGTCAAGTCTAGCAGCATTCTGAACTGATAAGGTGATGAGGAATGGGAGAGTCCTTGTTTGAGTGAAGTGTGGTGCTAAGAGCTCAAAATTCTGACAGCTGTGGGCTTGAGTCCTGGCCCACTGAAAGGCCAGTGTGGCTGGTGCCTGGTGTGAGATGTGTCAAAGATAAGGCTGGAGGAGGATACAGTGAACACTGTCAGCACAGAGCTGGACACAAGGGCCTTGAAGGTCAGGGTAAAGAATTGACATACATATTTTTTTCCTGAGGGCAATCGAAAAACATTGTGAAATATTTATCACAGGGCCTGGAATACACACTTACTAAACACTGGCTAGAATTCTAGTTCTAATACATTCACACAGCCCACTTCCGTGTGAAGAGGATCTCTTATACTTGCAGTTTTCATATAAGCTCGTCCACTCTACAGCAGCTCAGTTAGCAGCTAATGCATATTTACTGACCCTCAAATGTTAACACAGAGTATTTTCTTCTGACTCTACCGGTCAGCAAATATAACCCTGAAATTTCAGGGGGTCAATAATTACAAACATCTTGGCTTCAATATTAAACACTGTTAACATTAAAAAATAAAAGTATTATTATGGTCAAATACATTAGGAAAATTATCCTTTTTTCAAGGCCTCTTTAAGCTTTTACCATGCTTATGAATACTATAACAATTTAAGAAGGACATACAGTACTCAGTCTTTTCCAAAGCATCTTCAAAGACTAATGATCTAGAGCAATGCTAACCTTTCCCACAGTTCCAGCACACCTAGAAAATGATCATCATGGGGCGCCTGGGTGGCTCAGTCGGTTAAGTGTCCGACCTCGGCTCAGGTCATGGTCTCACGGTTTGTGGGTTCGAGCCCCACGTCAGGCTCTGTGCTGACAGCCAGCTCAGAGCCTGGAGCCTATTTCAGATTCTGTATCTCCCTCTCTCTCTCTGACCCTCCCCTGCTCATGCACTCTCTCTCTCTCTCTCTCTCTCTCAGAAATAAATAAAACACTTAAAAAAGAAAAAAAAAAAAGAAAATGATCATCATTACAATGCGAGAGGAATTGGCCCCTGAATGCACCCAGCCTGGGGCCTCAGACTATCCCAAATACTGCAGGGATGAATGACCTTGACAAATCTAGAACACACGAGTTGGAAAGCTATATTCTATTCAGGAAAAAAATGTTGCCTCAGTTATTTTTTTTTTAGATTAGACCATACTAATGAGCTAATTCAATGTATGAATTGTATTCAATTTATTCTATGTAAAACTTACCATTTGCTGCAGGGGAGCTTAATTGGAAACCCCCTGCATCAGACCAAAACCCCTAAGGGGGCTGCAACTTCAGTCAAAGGGAAGGTAGGGAAAAAACCCTGACTACATGCAGAAGAGGAGCCACCTGGGAGCCTTTTCTGCCCAAGCTCTGGGCCGGGAGTCCACTCTGACACTGTCTAATCACGGGCCTGCTCTCCTGAGTCACTCTGAGGACTCACCCCGCCCTAACTGGTCAGAAAATCCCCAGATCAAGACATGAAAGTAGTTCCAGGCCACTAGTGCCCTTTGACACTCAGCAGAAGCATGTTAATCCCTTTAGGAAATAATCACGTACAAAGGAGGCCTTTCAGCATTCCTACAGATTTGATCAAGTATGAGTACACAATCAATAACAAACAGACAAAAGCAATCGGTCACAAGTGTCAGCAGAAGCAGATTAGCAATCCCAAACTGTTAGGCACTGAAACTGTCAGACACAGAGTAGAAAAGAATCATTCAAGAAATGTTTACAAACAAATAAAAGTATTACTGAAAAATGAGCCAAGGAATAAAAAGTGATCAGGCATATCTGAAAAGAACAAAATGCAGCTTCTATAAATGAAAAATATAAATGTTATCATTGAAAAACAGACACCACCACCAAAACACCTCAATGGATGGGATGAACAGCAGATCAGACATGGCTAAAAAAGATGTGGGGAAATGATAAACATTAAGAAAATACCCAAACCACAGCAAAGAAAAACAAACAGAAAATAAGAGATTCATACAGTATAAAACAAAGATCTAATAAAATCTCTAATAGGAATTCTCAAAGGAGAGACTATGGAGATGCTGAATGAAAGACTGGCTGAGAATTCTGCAGCAACACTGAAAACACAGATTCAGACAGAATTACACCACATATATTAAACATAAGAAAAAGATAACCACATTTAAATAGATCACAGTACCAATGCAAAACACTAGAGAGAAGATTTAAAAAAGGACTAATTAAAAAATATTTTAAAAATTTTAAAAAGGTGGGGGGGCGGGGTGTACCTGGGTGGCTCAGTCAGTTAAGTGTATGACTTTGGCTCAGGTCATTATCTCCTGGTTTGGGAGTTCAAGCCCTGTGCTGGGCTCTATGCTGACAGCTCAGAGCCTGGAGCCTGTTTTACGTTTTGTGTCTCCCTTTCTCTCTGCGCCTCCCCTGCTCATACTCTGTTGCTGTCTCTCTCTCTCTCTGAGAAATAAACATTAAAATTTTTTT